GGTTACAATCCCCTCCGTGCATCATCAACCAACTAAAGGGTATACCCTGCAAGCCTGCCCCCTGGTTGTCAGCACACAGCCCTTCTCCCTCTCTGGGTCTAGAGTCCCCAGCTGCTCCATCTCTCCACGTCGTCGTCTCTGCCTCCATCTCTAGTGTCACTGTTTCTCTGCACCATTGACTTTTAACCCACTTAAACTATTAACAAGGCTGGTAAGGAGAAAGGGCCATCCACACATGTGGAATTCCATCCCATGCAATTCTGCCCAGACAGATGGCTGGTCAGTGGGCCTGACGTCTCCTGGTTGCCCTTCCCTTGTCTGTGAGGGTCAGATCTTCCAAAGCTTTTACAAGTTACCCTAAGGCCCACTTCACCAAATACTACTTTAGCAGAAGCAGTTTTCAGTCTTATAAACATGTTTATTAAAAATCCAACTCCTTTATAAACAAGCGAAGTGTCTATGGATGGACACTGGCCAGGTGATATGGGCACCCACTGGCTTTGGAGCCTCTGCCCCCTTCTGCCAGCATCTGCTCACCAGCTCCCACCCTGGACGTCAGACCAGACCACATGGGTCCTGAGCACAGGCAGCTAGTGTGGGCCCTGGTCCTACAGACCCCACTGGAGACGACAGGAAACACAGCACAGCTCAAGACCCCTGCCACGACCCGCTTCTCCTCAGGAGGAGAGCTACAGCTTGCTCTGGGCATGATCCAGAAGACTGCTTTAGCCAGGCAGGCAGGCACCTTGACACCCAGCAAGGTCACCACGGAAGGTGGTGGGCATTCAGGCTCTCCTGGACACAAGGCACCACCACTTTGGCACCTCAGTTTCAGGGTGGGTCAGACAGTGGAAATCAGGGTCCTGCCAGAGGATCAGGGGGTACCCGCCCCAGGGCAAGAGGGACGGGGGTGGCGGGGCTGATCCAGCAGAGCAAACAGGAAGTCTTCAGCCCCCTCTGCTGTTTGTCCCTATGGGGACGGACAGGGACAGGCAGTCTATTCCCGGAGGAGCCGGTTACCAGGATTCCTCGAGCTGCCTGACAGGCATGTACGCCACAGGGAGACGCTGGGATCCAGTCCCCAGCTGGAGCAGCAGCTGGAAGAGGTGGAGGGGACCACACCATCACATTACACAGATGCAGCAGCAACAGGAAACAATGCTGACAGCTTCCTCTGGTAAAGCGGTTCAGCCACCCTCATCCTCTCTCCCAAGCTCACATCCAGGTGGGCTGGGCAGTGAAAACAGGGCGGTGAGGCCTGCGCCCTATGGGGTGCCTGCCAGGGCAATGCTGAAGACTACCTTGTCCACCGCCCTCATTCTTGACATTATGGATGGCAGGTGGGTCCTAGCTTGTGGGAACTGTCAGGATCTTCGGCCACATCCCTTGGGGTTTTAGGTGATGGCCACCTGCCTTCTTCAGAGAGAAGAGCAGGAGCAGCACTGGGCAGCCTTATGTGCACGGGGTCCCTGAGACGTAAATGCCAAGAAGGGGTGCAGAAGCCAAAGCCACCAAGCAAAGCCAACAGGCTGCCCATGGCTGGAGAGAGCAAGCCCAACACAGAGACAGCAAGAAGCATGGGCTGAGAACCCGCTGGGAAGCCCCAGGAGGAGACAGCTTCTGAGGAGTGAACAGTCTCAACTGCTTCGGAGCCCTGGCCCGCTTCCCTGGCCACCATGCAGCAGAGGCTGGAAAGACAGAGATACAGGGAAGGGTCAGTGACAAGGCGTCACAATGGCCCCTGACCTGCAGGATCCCCACCAGGCTGAGTCCCCATCCAAGCCATAAGATCCTCAGCCTGGTCACCATCACACCACATCCCACCAGTTGGCCAAGTGCCCAAGTACAGGCCACATCTGCTGCAAATAGTCAACTGGGCACCATGCTCTGTCCCCTAGCCTAGCCCCAAGGTCCTCCCATCATGTTCAAGTCCTTGCTTGGGCATATTAGGCCACATCACATCTCACTGCATTCCCTGTCTTCCCTGAGCACCAGACCACGGGGCCCTGGTTGGCACCATCACCAGGATATGCTAGTTTGATAGCAGTGGTCCCCGTCAGCCAACCTCAAACCACCTTCAAGCTACTTGGTTCCCACCACAGTACTGTGCTGATCGTTTTGGCCCAAGCTTTTCCTGGGTGTTCCTGGGCTGGAGTGGGGGGCCAGGAACCCGTACCTGTCTGTCATTCAGGAGCCCCGGCTCTGGGCGCTTCCAAGATGAAGCCAGGATATAAAGGACCAGCAGCCCAAAGACCACCACTAGCATCCCGGTGCTGTTGGCGAAGACAGCCTCACTGGGCAGACTGGAGTAAGGGTGGGTGGCATTTTTCCTGAAAATGATGAAACAAGGGGATCCCTGGAGACTTTCCAACATGTTTACCCAGCAGGAGATACACTGTCTCTAAGAGAAGGTGAGAAAGTCTTCCCAGGACCACCTCTGACTTGGGATTGTAGTTATTACCCCCCAGAATTACTTTCCATGTCCCTGCCACAAAAACAAACATCTGTCCAACGCTCTTTCTGAGACCATTGAGGCTCAGAGTGTTGAAATTAACTTGGCCAAATGCCCCTAACCAGCAAACAGCATTGCTGAGGTCAGTCTTGCTTTCCATTGCCCCCTACCACCTCAAACCCAGAGAACGGCAGTGACCAGGCACATGGGACTGTGCCAGGGCAGACAGCCTGTGTGCCCTGAGCTAAGTTACTTAGCTTCTTGCTCTGTGTCTGTTCCCCATCTGTAAAGGGCAGCGACACCAGCAGCGATGCTAGAATGCGGTTGAGAAGATTAACATAAAGTAGGTACAGCAGCTTGTTAAAACCCCGCCCCCCAAAGCCCAAACAACTAGCCATCAAGTTAATTCCAACTCATGGCAACCCCATGTATTGCAGAGTGGAACTGTGTTCCATAGCACTTTCAATAGCTGATTGCTTCGGGAAGTAGACTGCTAGACCTTTCTTCAAAGGTACCTCTGGGTGGATTCAAACCGTCAACCTTTCTGTTCTTAGCCCAGTGAACCATTTATGGCCCCAAAATATAGGAATACCAACTCCATTGCCATCAAGTTGATTCTGACTCCTAGTGAGCCTAAAGGACGCAGCAGAACTGTCCCGTGGTGATACAGTGGCTCAGTGCTAACTACAAGGTTAGCAGTTTAAACCTATCAGCTGCTCCTTGAGAGAAAGACATAGCCGTGTGTTTCTGACTAAGCTCAAACCAGGCCCACTGCCACTAAGTCGATTACAACTCACAGCAACCCTGCACAGGGTTTCCAAGACTGTGAATCTTTCCCGGAGCCGAAAGCCTCCTCTTTCTCCCAACAGCAAGCCTATAGGACAGAGTAAAACTACTCCGTAGAGTTTCTCTGAGACGAAATCTTCAGGGAAGCAGACAGCCACCTGCTCTGACTCATAGTGACCCTGACTCAGTTTTCAAAACGAAATCTTTACAGGAACAGACGACCACGTCTTTCTCCCACAGAGCAACTGGTGGTTTTGAATCACCGATCCTGTGGTTGGCAGCCCGATCCATGTCCCAGTACCACCAGGGTTCATTTATGACTGTAGTTGCTGCTGCTATGTGCCATGGAGTCGGTTCCAACTCAAAGCAACCCTGTGTAGGGTTTCCAAGGCTTTAAACCTTTATGGGAGCAGAAAGCCTCATCTTTCTTCCATGGAGCAGCTGATGGATTTGAACTGTTGACCGTGTGGTTAGCAGCCCCATTATGATACACAGTTGGCCACTACGATACACAACTCCCTAAGTGGTAGATCAGTCTGATGCTCAGGAAATATTTGCTCATCAATTTACCAATCTCAAGTTAAAAAGAGATGTTTTATTGCAAGGTCCCTACAATCATCAGATGCAGCCTCTGAAGGCCCCTCCCCTGGAACCAGGCTCCCCGTCCTACTCACAGACTGAAGAAAAGCTTCTCATTAATGCCGGAAATGACAGACACAATGGCCAGCGAAAAGATGGAGGTCCCAAAGAAGATATGCGTGGGCTTAAGGAGACTGCGCAGCCACACGGAGGCCCAGGGCAGGAGGAAGACGGCAAAGCCCAGGAACCACTGTGAACACAGCGAAGGCACACCTGACACTACTGAGTGCGGCCGGAGGCACACGGGTCACCCCACCACACAGCTCTGCCCCAACTCATATGGGCCCTTCTTTCCCACCTGTAACCCTCCCAACAGGCCCTGCCTCCCCCCACCTCATCCCCCATCACACCCAGCTTCCTCACTGTCTGCACTGTGGTCGGTTTGTTTCTATCACACACACACACACACACACACACACACACACACACACGTCAGAGCCACGGCAAGAACACTGAAGTCTCCCTCTCCCAGCAAACCCACCCAGTCTTGTTAGTCTCTGCTTCCTTGCAGAGCTGGCACACCGAATGCCTCACTTGTATGGGGCTGACATCAGAATATAGAAACCACTTCTGGAACTGCTGCTGGTTCACAAAAGGTGGGAAAGGCAGCTGTAAGAGCTGGCAGGGGCTCTAGGAAGGTGTGAGGTCTGGGAGCAGGAGCAGGGAAGAGCAAGATGCACAGAAAGAGTGCCGATGCCAGTGCAGGTGCAGGGCAGAGGAAACCCACCTGGCAGGCAAACAAGAAGACGGTGGTGATCCCCACCCAGCTGTGCAGGGAGTAGAGGTTGCTGATCCGATGACTGTTATGAAAGGCAAAGACGGCTACCAGCCCCAGCACGGTCAGGACGAAGGCCATCAGATGCAGAGCTGCATGGAGGATCTTCCAGGGCAGCTTGGGCCCTACCCAGGACTGGGGCAGGCGGTACACTAGCGAGGCTGCAGGAGAGAAGAGTCCCAAGGCTCGACCTCTCCCCTCACATTAGAGGAGCCACCCTCAGATGACCCCTCTCAGCCTCCTAACACCTTCCAGGTGTGTGACGGTTGGGAAGGAGGACAGGCTTGGATGGACATCAGTTCTAGTCCCTCAGCATCTTCTCTCCCATTGGCCATGAATGTCGAAGGGACAGTGAGCAAGGTCCTGCCATTCGGTTATACACTTACTACATGACCAAATAGGACTCTCTAAGCCAAGGTTGGTTGTCAAGGGTCAGACCACCAGGGCCCAGATCCTGACTCTGCCTTCTCATTAACTGTTTAGCTTCTCCTCACCTCTAAGACCCAGTTTCCTCACCTGTAAAGTGGGAGTAACAGTAGAGCCTACCTCCCAAGCTTGTTGTAGGAACAAACTGAGAAGCAGGAAGCTTCTATTATTAATGTCTTTGTTATTCCCACTTGTAAACTGAAGCTCACCTGGGTCCTCAGGGACCATGTTGAATGCATGGGATAGAGATGGTCAAAGACAAGTCTGTGAAAGCTAGGTCTGATAGCACTGTGGAGTAAGCACTGGACTGCTAACCCCAAAGTCAGCAGTTCAAACTCACCAGCAATTCCAAGGAAGAACAGATCTACAGCCTCAGAAAACCTCTACGGGGTTGCCGTGAGTCAGAATCGACTGGACAGCAGCGAATGTGAGTTGGGTCTGGGAGGAATGAGCAGCGCCCTCATTTAGGGGCCTGACTATACTCCGGGAGGCTTCAGTTCCCGACTTCTTGAGCAGAAGTCAGCAAAATATACAGCTCATGGGCCAAATCTGGACCCCACCTGCACAAGGTAAGTCAAAAAGTATTGCTACGGAACGTATTCATCCACGCATGGGTTCGTTCAAAACACAATGTGTTTAACAGTCTCTGCGATCAATGGACGGCTGCAGATGAGTTCTCTCAGTAATGCATGTGTCTTAAGTCTCATTAGGGTACCTTCAATAAAAAAGATGACTTTTTGTGCCATGGGAAAGAGAATGTGTTTTCAGGTCAGGACTAATAATTTCACAATTTTTAACAAAACTCCACCTTCCCATATCATTGATGCTTTGCAACAAGTTTGCGGGAGTACCACCCCACATGAAACAACAGGTTTTCGATGGAGTAAGCATTTTAAGGAAGGTTGGGAAGAACCCAAGGATGAATTCAAGGCAGAGAGGTCTGTTCAGAAGGTTTCAGTGACTGATTTTTGGTACTCCAACGGGGTCATCTTGATAGATTTTCTGGAAGGACACAGGATGATCATGGGGGCTTGTTAGGAAGAAGTTTTAAGAAAACTACATTGGTGAGAAAAAAAAAAAGGTCAGGCAAGTTGCACTGAGGAATTCTTTCCCGTCACAACATTGCAACTGCTCATTCTTTAAGGGCTGTCCTCTGAGGATTTCACTGGGAAAGCTTACCCATCCACCCTACAGCCTTGATCTTGCTCCTTCACAGTTCTTGTTACTTCCCCAAACTCAAAGGACATTAAAAAAAGAACACAGTTTGAGTCCCCGGAGGATGCCGTTTTGACGTGTGAACCAGAGTTTCAGAAGTCTCTGGGAATAGGCGAGAGATGAAAATATCTCCTTCAGAAGCGTACAGCTTGGGGAGGCAACATTGAGAAACAATAGCTGCACATTTGATATTTTTGTTTTACAAAAGTTTCTGTGATTTTTGTAGCAATTCTTTTTTACGTGCCCTTGGATTTGTAAAGAAAGTTTTATTAGAACACAGCCATGATCCCTCATTTATGAACTGTAGCTGCTCTCGTAACACAATGGTAGAGGTGAGTTGTTTCAAGATAGATCACACGGCCTGCAAAGCCTAATATGGGTTCTAGCTAGCCCTTTACAGAAAATGTATTGTTGTTAAGTGCCATTGAGTCAGTTCTAACTCATAGCAACCTTGTATAGTGTTTCCCAGAAGCAACTGGTGGGTTTGAACCACTGATCTTGCAATTAGCAGTCCAATACTTATCCCACAGCGCCACACCCAGTTGTTGTTGTTATGTGCTGTGGAGTCGATTCTGACTCATAGCGACCCTGTACAGGGTTTCTGAGGCTATAAATCTTTACGGGAGAAGAAAGCCTCATCTTTCTCCGGCGGAAAAGCTGGTAGTTTCGAACTGCTGACCCTGAGGTTTGTAGCCCGATTCATAACCACTACACTACCAGAGCTCCTTGCCACACCCAGTAGAGTACTAGAAAAAGTGCCCTTCACACACGCCCTCTCCCTTACTACCTCGTCCCCACATGGGCCCAGTGACAGCCACCCACCACCCCAACACTGACCAAGGCCAACCCTGGAGAAGGAACGTGTTGGGCCACCCCCTTCTCTGCCCATGTGGACCCCTTACTCACCAGCTCCGTAGACCACCACCATGCCAGCCACCATGAGCACAGGGTGCCAGTTGAACATGAGTTGGCTTCCGTCCCAGGCAAAGCCGTTGCGCCAGTACCACATCCAGTAGCTGGTGAAGAGGATACAGAGCAAGCCCAGGGACCCCAGCGCCAGGCAGGAAAGGTAAAAGCGTCCCACCACCATTCTGCTCTGGCCCTTCTAGGGGAGAGGAGGAAGTTACACGTCCCTACTGGCTTGGCTACACCCCACACACTGGCTAACGGAGGAGGCAACACTGAGCTCACGCTGGGCCTCGTGGGGTGGATGCTTCAGTTTCCCTGTCGTCGGGCTGGGCACCGCCCAAGGCCAGATCTCTGGTTATAGATGTTGAGTGAACCCCACCTAGCACCTGGCCGTGCAAGGCTCAGCAAGCTCTGGCTTGTCGCTGGCCTTGCAGAGCACTGTTGGGGTCAGACACCAAAGCTCCGGGCCCTGAGCCCCAGAAGTGGTTCCCCACTTCACAGGGCAGATAAAGCTGGTTCTGGTTGGTAGAGACCCAAAACATAAGGAAGGAAGCAGCCAAAGAACCACTGGCTATCTAAAGGAAACAAGGGTCAGGACCTGGAATCCAGCCTAGATTTCCCAAATTGCTTAGACTCACAGTTTCAACATGAGGCCACCGTGCAATTGGACAGGAAAACAAAACATAAACAAAAACACATGCACTCTTTACTAGACTAAGCTATAGCCAGGACACCCCACGGGCCCCCACTTCTACAGCAATTCTGTTTATCCCCAGATGCGGAGCTCTGTGGGGACAGACCCTCTCCTTGGGGAGAGAAGATCAGACCTTCATTCCTCAGTCCCCACACTATGCATGGTGAGTCAGGCGACATGCCTCAGCTATCCCCAGGCTGAGACTTCTGCTTTCTCTTCCTCCAGGGAAAGTTCAGAAGAGAAAGAGGAAGCAAGAACTCATGGTCTAGAAAGCAGGAGGTTTATTTTGAGATTTCCACATGCTCTCGATAAATGGAGAGTCCCACTGGGGTTCAGGCCTGGCCTGCTCTTACTGTCTGCGACTGTATGGGCAGCATGGGCCCAGTCACCCAGCCCCATACACTCACCCCAAGAAGGTGACGATGTGGCTCCCTGAGACTGAGGTACCTCAATCAGAACCAGCTAAGCGAAAGGAGGCCCCTAAAATACACAACTCCCAAGGAGAGAATGCACGTGGGTCCTCACCTGGAAACCGAGTGATAGGTAGAAAAAATAGGGACCTGGGTGTCAATTCTCATGAAAGCTGATGCACCTTGAGCAAATCGCTTACCACTCGCAGGACTGGCTTCTCACCTGAAAGAAAGGCATGACCAGAATAAAGATGCCGTTTAATGAACACCAGGGATGAACCAGGAGCCTAGCTGATACCAGCAGCTTGAGACCCATGCAGCATCTCCGCGAAACAAAGGCTTGGCAATCTGCTTCTGTAGAGACTACAGCAGAGAGAATTCCCCGGCACAGTTCTCCAGCAGCCCCTAACACCAGTACACTTCAACCTGACACACACAATCCCGTTTACTCCTCTTGACAATGCTGTGAGGTATTGTCCCCATTATACAGATGAGGAAACTAAGGCTTAGAAAGATTAATTTGTGGTGGTACCGTCAAGTACAACAGGACACACTGCCTGGTCCTGTACCATCCTCACAACCTGTCCTGTGTTAGAGCCTGTTGTTGCAGACACTGTGTCTGTTCATCTCATTGAGGAGATTCCTCTTCTCCACTGATCCACTACCAAGCATGACATCCTTCTCCAGGGACTGGGCCCTTCGGGTAACAGGTCTTGCCATCCTTGTTTCTAAGATGCACACTTGGCTATATTTCTTGGAAGACAGATTTGTTCTTCTGGCACTCCATGGTAGAGATTCAATATTCCTCACCAGCATCTTAACTCAAAGGCATTGATTCTTCTTTGGTCTTCCTTATTCATTGTCTAACCTTCCTATGTATAGGAGGTCACTGAAAATACCATAGCGTGGTCCTCAAAGTAACATCTTTGCTTTTCAATACTTTAAAGAGGGTTTTTGGAGCAACTTTCCCCAATGCAACACAGCATTTGACTTCTTGACTGCTACTTACATGGTTGTTGAATACGGATCCAAGTAAAATGACATCCTTGACAACTTCAATCTTTTCTCCGTTTATCATGCTGCCTGTTGGCTCAGTTCCACTTATTAAATGGGCAACAGTTTCAAACCATGGTCTGTCTGGTTTTAAGGCCCAGGCTTTTTCCTTTGCCACAGGTTGTCAGAAGATCAAGAAAGAAAACACAGGAAAGGACATTGTGAAAATAAAGTCTTACATGCTTCTTAGTATCCTGTTGTTGTGGTTGTAAAGTGCTGTCGAGTCGGTTCTGACTCATAATGACCCTGTATGTGGTTTCCAAGGATCGGCTGGGGGTTCTGAACCACTGGCCTTGAAGTTCAAGCTAACCTTGCGGTCAGTTCAGTGCTTATCCTACAGCACCACACCAGGACTTCATATTTTATTTTAGCTCCTGCACCTCTCAACAGCCCTGATTCTGTGCTTGTCAGCTTTCCCCACACCAGGTGGGATCTCCCAAGGTGATCCCGTGGGCAGTCAGCTTGAGGAGGGTCTGAGAGCTGAAGGGGAAAACAAGATCTTATGAGGCTGACAAAAGACAATCATTCATATCGCTAGCTTCCTAGAAACTCTAGAGACTCAACGCCTGGTCTCCACGATGTGCACCCAGCTTCAGAGCTGTCCCCTCAATTCCCACAAGGGCACAGGAAGTAGTGTCAGGTCACCAGAGACAAAAGCCAAGTAAACATAGTCCCCAAAGGACAGAATACACCCTTGGAGGAGGTGATAAGTGGAAGGGCCTGCATTCCTGCTCTGGGACTAACTTGGATGATGGGAACTTTCCTGATTGGGGTGGGGGGAGCTCAGAGGTTAGGGTACTCTGCTCACAGCCAACCCTCCCCTTTGCCTAAAACAAAAAGGAAATGCAGAGGAAAAGGAGGAGTGAGCGCAGTGACCGCTGCAAGGCCAACTCCGAGAATGTGTGAAGATTTAAGAATGTGTGCACCTCGGTTTGGGCTCCTGTTCTGTTCTCCTTTTCTAAGCCTTGTTCAAAAGAAGGTGTTGACAAACTCTGCTACAAAGAAAGGGTCAGGCGGTAAATAGTCTCAGTTTTGCAGGTTCTCTGGTCTCTCTGTTCACAACAAAGTCATTCACCCTGCTGATGTAGTGCGAGGGCAGCCACTGACGTGAGCATGGCTGTGTTCCAATAAAACTTTATTTAATTCTATGAAGTCATTGAAATATGTAATTCATGTACTTTTCATATGTCCCCAAATAATCATCTTTTGGCTTGTCCAAATCATTGAAAAAAAAAATGTAAAATCTATTCAGGCAGGCAACATTTGACCTGTAGGTTGTAGTCTGTGACCCACTCCATGGGGTCTATTCTCCCACCTAATATAACACTCTTCTCAGTCTCTGGGTAGAAAGGATTTATCTAGGCTGAGCTAAAACAGATCAGGTTCAGGGATAAAAAATGGGTGATTGTAAGTCAGTTCAAACTCATAGGGACCCTGTATAGGGTTTCTGAGACTTAAAAAAAAGATTAGAAAGCCTCATGTTTCTCACATGCAGCTGCTGGTAGATGCTACAAAGGCTTCCCATGGAGTTGGTATTCAGCCTTTATTGTTGTTGTTAGGTGCCATCTGAGTCGGTACTGACTCATAGCAACCTGATGCACAACAGAATGAAACACCGCCTGATCCTGGGCCAACCTCACCATCGTCGTCACACTTGAGTCTTTATAGTCTTAGGAAAAGGCTATTCCCAACTGTGATGGGAAGTCCTGGCGGGGCACTGTGGGATAATGCACAGGACCGCAGGTCAGCAGTTCAAACTCACCAGCTGCTCCCAGGAAACCCTATACAGAGTTGCTATGAGCTGGAAACAACTTGAAGGTACTTAACAATAAACAACACCGACAGTGTTTCTTTAAGACTACAAATAGAAAAAGAAACAAAATCATCTGTGTCTCCCCCTTCTCAGACAGATGAAGGAACTTTACTGTTGTTAAGTGATGTAGACTCAGTTCCAACCCATAATGACCCTGTATAGGGTTTCCGAGCAGTGGCTGGTGAGCTTGAACTGCCGACCTTGCAGTTCAAGCCCACTTTGCAGTCCGGCGCATTAACCCACCGCACCACACCAGGAAACTTTCGGACTCTTCAAAATCAGTTTTAAAGTCCTAAATCCTTACAGTATGTTTCCAAACCACTGGGGCCCAAAGTGAATGGCAAAACAAGTACAAGGAACCAAGTCCACTACCCTTCGGCTCCCAGAATTCCTCATTGCCAAACGCAGCTTTCTGCAAATCCAGGCGAGGAAGTCAGGACTCAGAAGCGAGGAGAGTCCAGAATTCTACTCAGTTCTCCTTAGCACCAGCGCGATGACAACACCGCCCCTCAGTCAGGGTTCAGGACTGCAGGCTCAAATAACCTAAAACAATTTCAGAAACTCGGGGCTGATTGCTGACACCACTGTTGGGCCCTTGGTGCTAACGAACCTCCAATGAACATTAAGGGAGGAGCTCCGCCTGCTGTCATTATAACTATCATCCGTGGAACGAAAGGCACTGAGAGTTGTGCCCAGTTGCTAAAAGAGAAAACTAAGACTGGAGCGAGGGATCTTGCCAGCGAGGAGCGAAGGGTTTTGCCAGCGGGAAGCGAGGTAATAGCAGAGGGAATACTCGAACCCAGTTCCCTGAACGCCAACCCGGGCTCTTTCTTACTCCTGAACGACACTGGGACGCAGGGAAGTTAGGATCTTCTCAAGCGGCGTTGCCACCTCCGGAGCTTCGGGAAAAAAACGAATCAGGAACGACTAAGATACTCCATCTACACTGGGCAACCGCGCCCACAGCAGGCCGGAAGGCAGCGTCCCGACCTCTTATAGCCTCGCCACACTTCCGGTCCCACGCAAAGTTGCTTGGGAAATGAAGTCCAAGCCCCCGGTCTACGAAGGCCAGTGTGCCAAGGTGCCGTCTTTTCACGACCCGCGTTCCCGTTTTCCCTCGGGCATTTCTTTCGCAAGCCCAAGGTTTCAGAGACCAGGAGCGCTACGACGAGACTGCCTGTCCCTCAGCCTCCACCCCCCGGGAACGGAAATGTTCGGGCCGACTGGCAGAGGCTAACCCTCAGTAGGTTTCGCGCTCGGCGATGGAGGGGAGCTCTGGTCTGCAAGCGCTAATGCTGGGGCAGGAGCAGGGGCAGGGGCAGCAAGATTCCCAGGCTTGGTGACAGGCTGGCCATAGAGAAAGTCGAGACCAGCAGTTAGAACGGCGCAGACGGAATCCGCTTCCGCCACTCACTTCCGGGATGTAAAACCGGAAGCCAGACGGTGTCCCCATGACAACCGACGATGGCTCTTTGAGGTAAGAGCGGTGGATGAAGAGTGGGTGAAGTAATCGAGAGTCACGATTTTTATTGGTGGTGGTTTTGGGTTTTGGCCAAGGCGACCACATCAGCCTCAAAGCACATCTAGCTGGGCAGGTGGAGGGGACAAAGGGAACGCGACAGCATTTTGTTATCTTGTGACTCCCCACTGCCCACTTCACGTGGGCATGGCGACGTGCGTGTCTGTGTGACAGCCTCTGTGGTGGCCGGTGAACTGTAGTGGTCAGGAGCACGGGCTTTGGCGTCTGCCCTGGTTCCGAGTTCTGGCTCCACTTACTGGGGAATTAGTTAGATCTCTGATCCTCTCTGTAGAATTGTTGTTGCCAAGTGCTGTCAAGTCGGTTCCGACTCATAATGACCCTTTATAGGGGTTCCGAGGAGCGGCTGGTGAGTTTGAACCGCCGACCTTGCGGTTCAAACCGACCTTGCAGGTCAGCGCATTAGCTGGCAGCGCCACACCAAGACTGTAGAATAGGGATCTTTTTTCTCCCACTTTGCAGCGGGGACTAAAGGGAATTGTCTTGGCTGACAAGTTGTGTACATCGGTGATGGCTCTCAGTATTATTTGATGAATGAAGAAACTGTGTTCAGAGACAGCATGTTCCTACATCCAGTAAGCTGGGACTTCTGCACCTTGGTGATATAGAAAGAGGTACCTTAACCCCAAGAGCCTCGATGTAAAGTGCAGATTATATGCATAGCATTATATGCATAATAGGAGCTCTGGTAGCTTAGTGGTTACCAGTTGGGCTGCCAACCTCAAGGTCAGCAGTTCAAAACTACCAGTTGTTCGGCAGGAGAAAGATGAAGCTTTCTGCTCCCATAAAGATTTACAGCCTTGGATAAACCCTGTACAGAGTCACTCTGAGTAGGAACCGACTGGAATGTTGTTTGAACCGCAAGATCGGCAGTTCAAACCTACCAGCTGCTCCTCAGAAACCCTATGACACAGGGTCGCTATGGGTCAAAACTGATTCAACGGGCACTTAACAATAACATGTGCTTAGTAAAGGCTTAAGTAGGCTGTAGGATTGTTGTTATTATGGGCTGTTGAATCCGTTTTGACTCAGTGACCCTGTATAGAGTTTCCAAGGAGCAACTGGTGAGTTTAAACAGCCGACCTTGCGGATCAAACCAGCCTTGTGGTTGAGTTCTTATGCTATAGCGTAATACCAGGACTCCAGGCTGTAGGATTAAATGCCATAAAATACGTGCAGAGTTTGCAAATTGCAATGTGCTTTACAGGTACTAATATAATCACTCTACCACTTCAAAGCATCTAAAAATTTGTTTATAGATTTGATCAAATTGGGTGGGGGTCAAGGGCTGTCTCCCCCACAAACCCTAGCAGCTTCTAAGATCATGGAAAACATACTGTTCTAAAGGATTAGCTTTATTTCAGCCTCACAGTAACTTCATGACATGAAAGATTTGTTGTTGTTATTGTTAGGTGCCATCGAGTCAGTACCGACTCATAGTTACCTTAAACACAGCAGAATGAAACACTGCCCGATCCTGGGCCAATCTCACTATTGTTGCCACGCTTGAGCCCATTGCTGCTGCCACTTTGCCAATCCATCTCACTGGAGGTCTTCCTCTTTTTCTCTGACCCTCCATCCTACCAAACATGATATCCTTCTCCAGAGACTGGTCCCTCCTGACAACATGTCCGAAGTATGACATAAAAGATACACTTTTATAGTCCCCATTTTACAGATGAGGAAACTGAGGTCCAAAGAGGTAAAATAGTTTGTCCAAGGTCACAGAGTTAATCAGTTGCAAAGCTGGGCTTCAGATTGAGGCAGTCTGGGTGCTGAGTCTGTGTGTTAACCTCTGTCCCAAGCTGCCTCCTGTATGACTGAAAGGTTGCTAAGGGCAAAAATGTGGGCAGAGAGAAGGAAGTAGAGAGGGGTGACGATAGATGAAGCTGAGAGGAAATACTGCTCTCCAGGAAAACTTGCATCTTTCAGTTTATGGTAGCAACACAGCAGCAGCAGGTAAGGACACTGGAGTCTTTGTGTGTGTGTGTTCCTGAAAGTTCACTCCCATCTTTTTTCTCCTGGGTTTTTTAGGGGTTAAATGCTACCAGAAAGAAGTTAGGTAACTTCTCTCACTTATTCTGCACATTGGGAATGAGGAATAGTTCATGTTCATTAATAAGCTATTGCTGACTGATATTACGATTACAGACAAAATGTTCTTGTTTTTCTTTCTCTCTGACCTTCCACCTTACCAAACATGATGTCCTTCTCTAGTAACTGGTCTTTCCTGACAATAGGTCTGAAGTATGAGACATGAAGTTTGGCCATCCTGCCCTCTTCAAGGAGCACTCTGGCTTGGCTGTACTTCTTCCAACACAGATCTGTTGGTTCTTTTGGCAGCCCATGGCACTTTCAATATTCTCCTCCAACACCATAACTGAAAAGCATCAATTCTTCTATGGTCTTCCTTAGTCATTGTCCAGTTTTTTGCATGCATATGAGGTTATTGAAAATACCATGGCATATAATAGATAATAGGTCTCCAATATATATTTACTATATTCATGTACGTCTAATCCCTCCTATCTTATTGTCCCAGCAGACCTTTGCCTTAGAGCCAGAGAAACAGTTTGGATTTGGATACGAGAGACGCTTCTCCCTCGGTGCTGGGGAGAAAGCCAGGAGCTGTTTTCTGGAAAACGGTGGAATGTGCTCCTGGAGGCCCAGGAGAGCAGAAAGAAGATGCTGCAGACCAGCAACTATAGCCTGGTGCTTTCTCTGCAGTTCCTGCTACTCTCCTATGACCTCTTCGTCAATTCCTTCTCGGAGCTCCTCCGAATGGCTCCTGTCATCCAGCTGGTGCTCTTCATGTGAGTTCCATGGGTGGGTCTGCACAGCTGAACCCCAGCCAGTCGAAGGCCTGATGGTCCTGAGTTAGCATTTAAAGGCATTGTTGCTGTTGAAGTGCTGTCACGTCGGTTCTGGCTCACAGTGACCCACGATAGGGCTTCTGAGGAGCAGGTGGCAGTTAGCAGTCCAGTGCTTATCCTACAGCACCACAGCAGGCCTCCTTAAAGGTTATTAACGAACATGGAACATCACCCCGGATACCCCACAGTTTTTAATATCTTTCTCACAAGGGTTGAAAGGAGCTCTGGTGGCATAGTGGGTTATGTGTTGGGCTGCTAAATGCAAGGTCAGAAGTTCAAATCCACCAACTGCTCTGAGGGAGAAAGATGAGGCTTTCTGCTCCCATAAAGATTTATAGCCTTGGAAACCCTGTACAGAGTTGCTCTGAGTTGGAACCGACTCAACAGCAAACCGCCACTACCATGGGTTGAAAGGAGACCTGGTGGCGCTGTATATTAAGCATTAAGCTGCTAACTGCAAGGTCAGTGGTTCAAACCACCAATCGCACATGAGAGAAAGATGCCTGCTCCCATAAAGACTGTGCTTCAGAAACCCTAGGGAGTAGTTGTGCTCTGCCATGTAGGGTCCCTAGGAGCAGGAATTGACTTGGTGGCAGTGGTAATTGGAAGACAGGTTGGGGGTAGGAGCCATAGCATACCTAGAAAGTGAGGGCCAGACTGCTGACCCCATTATTATCCCCACCTGGGAGTAGAGAGATGACCTTACGTTGCCATGTGAAAGGAGGACAAAATGGCAGGCTAAAAATCAAAAAGAAGAATTCCTGGGATGAATTCCACAGATGAATCCCACAGGACTGAAACTTCCACCATGGTTTCTAGATGAGGAGTGCAACTTTGAAATGAAACACGACAGTTTCTCATAGATGATCGCCCTTTACTCAACAAGCGCTCTTTAGCCTGCTAGTCACTCTCTGGGTTGCATGGTAAACTTGCCGAGTTCCTGCTCGGGGTTGTGGGGTTGACATTCTAGTGGAGCGAGGGAATGAATACATAAACAAAAATCAGGTCATTTCCAATAGTGATCCAGGCTACACAACCAGGGATAAAGCGGCAGGGGTGGGGAGGGTTAGGGTACTGTGGGTGAAGAAGAGCCTTGCTCCAGCGGGGGCATTGGGACTGGACCTTCATGGCACTCAGGAGCCAGCCACACAGAGACCGCGCAGAAGGGCACTGTGGTCTTGCCAGATGAAACTGACCAGATTATGTGACAGGGCTGGTGCTTGCTGATTTCAGGAGGAAACTAGCTTTTCTTCATTAAGTACCTCTGATAGCGTAGTGGTTACAAATCGGGCTGCTAATCTCACGGTCAGCAGTTCGAAACTACCAGCTGTTCCACAGGAGAAAGATGAGGCTTTCTGCTCCCGTAAAGATTTACAGCCTCGGAAAACCTGTCCAGGGTCACTATGAGTCGGAACCGACTCCACGGCACATAACAACAACAACAAGGTATATTGAGTTAAGAGCTTCAGAGCAAGAAGGCTGTATCGGTAGACTGCAGTCCAACTGACAGTGGCCATCAAGTCATTGTAGCTAGACAGCACGTGGGTCCCAAAGCCCAGGCTGTTTGGGAGGGATTCCACACTTCCTGGTGTCCTCCAGACTTCGGGCCAACCCTGGCTCCTCCCACGGGTCTCCATTCGGCTGTGTCTTCTTTTCTATGTCTGCAGCCTCCAGGATATTGCCATCCTCTTCAACATCATCATCATCTTCCTCATGTTCTTCAACACCTTCGTCTTCCAGGCTGGCCTAGTCACCCTGCTCGTCCAGAAGTTCAAAGGGAGCATCATCCTGGCCGCTGTGTACTTGGCCCTCAGCATCTCCCTTCACGTCTGGGTCATGGTAAAAGTACAGCCGTAGATTCTCACTCCTGGGAGAGCTAGTAGTCCAGGGAACCCGGCCTAACATAAAGCATCCTCGGAGATGAATTCTTTACCTCTCACAAGTGAAAGGACAGTGGTCCGGCCTAGAGCTAGGCATAGAACATTTCACGAGGTACTCCTTTTCCCTAGCGTGATGTGTTGACGGTCAGCCTTATGCAAGAGTCGAGGGCATTCTAAAACATTCAATGTGCCTTTGCCCTCCCAGGGCTAAAAAAAGGAAGTTGACTCGATTTCATTGGCTATTCTGGCACGTGGGGCTAACTCAGAGTATCCGGCATCAGTATGCCGTGACTAGTGTTCCAGGCTGGGCATGGTGCTGGAAACCAGCCAAGCAAGAGGACTGCTTGTCTTCCAGTACTCCGGGCCCTCTGCCTGCTTACACCAGGAGGACTGCTCTGATGGAGCCTAGACCCCACGTCAGAGCCCAGCTTTCAGGTAGCTTCTGCTTCGCTACTTCTTCACCTCTTTGGGTAGCTCAGCTAGTTCTCATGAACTCCTGTTGATGTTGTTGTTGAGTGCCTGTGAGGGGTTTCCAAGGAGCAGCTAGTGGGTTTGAATTGCCAACCTTGTGGTCAGTAGCCCAGTGCTTTTCCTACAGCACCACACAAGGGCTCCTTTTGATAGAACATCTCAAAACCTCAGGGCCTTCAAACCTTGACACTTTTTTTTCCCTGAAGCCACCATCTTAGACTGAGCCCTCTATAACTCCACAAGAGCGTCGAGCCCAGAGGAAGGCAGCGCAGTTATGCCGAAGCACCTGGGTGCTGCCTGAAGCTGAAGCTGACTGTGCTCGGGTTCCTGGAACCAAAACAGGTGCTGGCCTTGTGCCTTGCAGCTGGTAATCTGATTAACCCCATGTGCTCTGAGCCTCTGTCAGGCAGGCGGAACTCCGGAGAATCACTTTTCCTTGACATGGACTATGGAATGAAAAGGGAGTAGTAAATTGCTTAGCTCAAACTTCCTTTCTCGGGTTAAAGATATTCCCATTGTGGCATCAAAGGAACTTGGGTCTCCTTTGAGACACACTCCTTGGGTTGTAGAAAGGAAAGAGAAAAATTAGCATGGTTTTCAACCAAGGAGGAATCTCTGTAGATGGAGACGGTTGGGTCTTATCTGGCCAGTGACCTTTCCCTGTCACCTTATGTCTCCTTCAGAACTTACGCTGGAAAGACTCCAATCGCTTTGTCTGGACAAATGGACTTCAAACACTGTTTGTATTTCAGAGACTAGGTAAGGAGCCCCCGACTGGCTTCAGGCCGCACCTCAGTGCTCCATAGGGCAACAGTGAAGGGTTGGGCCCTGGCTCCCCAGTGCCCTCGTAGCTGGAGTGCCATGGTTGGGAGCCCTAGTGGCACTGAAACCCCAGAGGAGAGGTGGCTGGTCCTGAAACTTCCTTTCTGTGTATCTCCCACAGCGGCTGTGCTGTACTGTTACTTCTATAAGTGGACAGCCGTGAGGCTGGGGGACCCCCGCTTCTACCAGGACTCTCTGTGGCTGCGCAAGGAGTTTCTGCAAGGCTGAAGGTGACCCGTGTGGTCCCATTGATGGATGACAGAAACCACATCTGCTGCTCTGAAATGGGCAGCAGGAAGCAGGCTGGCTTCCCTAGGACAAGCTCAGCCCAGCGTGTCCAGCATTGAAGAGGGAAGAGCCTCCCTCTTACACAGGAAAGTGCTCCGAAGTACATATCCCATAGCGCTCTCCTGCCTCAGGTCTTTCCCCCTTCCTCTCCTGCCCCATCGCATCCACTTCTCTGAACCCTCGTACAGAGAGCTCTTGGCTTGGTTCGTTAAGGCGGATACAGGGGACCCTCCCAGCCCCCACTCTCCATGCATCACACACAGAGGTTCAAGGAAACCCTGTGACTGCAAGGTGGTATATGTGTGCTTCGGACCAATCACACACCAACACGTAGATTTTATACCCAGGGCACTTTTCTTAATGTTTTCTAAGTATGAAATAAATGGATTTATTTTTTCCATAAAGAATGCAGTCGGTTTGTCATGTCATATTTGCCAAATCCTAGCTTCAGCATCGACACTGGGCAGATTGTGAATAAGGTATTTTTGAGACATTCCGGATGTAATCTACAGCCCCCAACCCTGGAGCTCTAGGCTTCTGCGCTTGGTTCAGACTTCCCCTTAGGCTGCTTTCAGAAGACTAAAGATGTTCAGTTTGGCAAGATAAATCTTTACAATGCCTATCTATTTTCTATTGCCAGTATAATGTATAACAAATCAACACCAAACTTAATGGTGTACATCAATAAAAGAGTTTGACTTGTATCCATGAGGCTCAGCTGGGTTGGGCTAGGTAGGGGTGATTTCAGCTGGGCTTGCTCAAGGTCTGTGGGCGGCTCTGAGGAGCTTGCTGAGGCTCACATGCCTTGGGGTCTTTGGACCGATGGAGACTCTAGAGGGCTCAGTTGAAATGACTGCTGCTCAGTTCTACTTCATGACTCTCTTGCCAGGTGTAATCCCCCCTGTGCAGCCCATTTCCAAGGCTCTGCTTGTATCTCTCAACCTCCGTTTACCAAGACGAGTCATTCATGTGGCCTAGCCCAGAAGCAGGGTGGAAAAGCAAAATTTTATGACAATCGCATGAGGTGTACAGGGAAGGGTAAAGAATTAATTCATTGAGTCGTGTTCAAGCATGGCAACAATTGTGAGGTTGGCCCAGGACCGGGCAGTGTTTTGTTCTGTTGTACATAGGGTCACTATGAGTCAGTACCGACTCCATGGCACCTAACAACAACAATCACACCAAGGGAAGCCCTGGGGAGGCGATATAGGGTGAGTACTGGACCCTAAGGTTGGTTTGAACTGAAGAGTCAGTGGTTCAAACTCACCAGCTGCACCTAAGAAAACCTATACAAGGTTGTGATGAGTTGGAATCGACTCCATGGCACTTAACAACAATCACACCATGGGGAGTGAGGTGGCTCTGTAGGATAAGCACTGGGCTCTGAATCCGCCCTGAGGCTCGGATTTACAGCCTCGGAAACCCGGAACCCGGGCGGACGGCACTAAACAGTAACCACACCAGAGTTGCTCTCTCAAATTCATTATTTAGACATGCTCTACAGGAGGGGTGGCAGATATTACATATTTTAGGCTTTGCAGGTCATATGGTGTTGTCAACATTGTCCAACACAATGTAACCTGAGCTAGAAGGGGCGAGCGCTGCCCTGGTGCCCACAAACAACTGCCCAGCACGCCCTCTTTCCAGCGCTGATCTCGGCCCGAGATCCTCCCAACGCATGCGCTGACCACGTTGAGACGCCCCGCCCCGGGCCACGACAGAGTCTGGAGGACCAGCAAAGGAACTAACCCAGGCCACTCTGTACCTCGCTTCCGGTAGCACCTCGTTGCTCCGGGAGCGGCTATTGCCGCGTACGCAGTTTCCATGGGAACTGAAGATGGCACCGCGAGGTGAGCTCCCAGAGGTGTGTGAGTCTCTGGTCCCTATCCCTGCGTGACCTCCAACAAGCCTGTGTTGGTCTGCGCGCCCCCGTTTCTCCTCCTGAATAGTGACCGGGTAGATTTTAGAGGCGCCTTTCACCTGTAACTTCCTTAGAGTTTTCTCTTGATTTTCAATCTCTAAACCAAGAGTGGAGTTTGGCAATGATCCCGGGGAGAAAGGGGGTGAACGAAGGCCCTCTTCTCCCACCCCTGCTCCCCTCCATCTTATTATCAGCAGTCAGAAGTTTCTAAGTGGCCCTTCCTGCTCGCAGGTAGACACTGAGCCCCGTACAGAACCCAAATTGAGCAATTCCCCGCCCATCCTTCTCTGTGCACATCTTTCAGGTAAACGCTTGTCCTCCACGACCCTGGAAATCCTGTTCTTTTTGAATGGATGGTATTATGCTACCTATTTCCTGCTGGAACTCTTCATATTTCTGTACAAAGGTAAGACTTGGGGCGTGACTATCCCAGCCCCATCACCCGTACCCCACTTTAGCCTAGAGCCAACTGCCACCAAACTCACCCACTGCCCTGGAGTCGATTCCAGCTCCTAGTGACCCTACAGGACAGAGCAAAACTACTTCCCAGGGTTCCCGAGATGAAATCTATATGGGAACAGGCAGCCTCTTTCTCCTGAGGAGCAGCTAGTGGGTTTGAACTGCTGACTTCGCTGTTAGCAGCCCAGGGCTTAACCCATGACACCACCAGGGCTCCTTAACACAATAGTCTAATTTCTCATTACTTTATCTCTTTCTGCAGTATCTCTTTGCCATTGTCTTCCTTGAGGATGATTCATTAGGAAACCCCTCAGCAAGAATTTGAGTTTGGGAAATGGGCCTGTCCATTCAGGCTGTTCCCCCCATCGCCTTCTGCTGAACTCCACTTTTTACAAAGTCCACTGGTAGCCTGTGGACTCACACAGATCAGATCGTTCCAGGGAGTGTGCATTATCCATAGATTTATGGAGTTTGGAATAAAACCCCATAATAATGAGTCCTCTAAGAGACATGGTCCCATTATGAGTCCCCACAGCCTGCAGCTGTAATAATGCCCCCAGCTCACTAACTGCTTCATGGAAAGCTGATAAGACTTATGTTCTCTTTATTTCCAAGTGTGGGTGCTGTTAGGTGTTGTTCATAAGCTCTGCTTTCATATTGCCAGGTCTCCTGCTACCTTATCCAACAGCCAACCTAGTACTGGATGTGGTGATGCTCCTCCTCTATCTGGGGATGGAAATTATTCGGCTGTTTTTTGGTGAGTGTTGTGCAGAGAATATTTCCATTCCTTATGAGACCAGTTGGGATCTGCAACTAGAAGAACAACAGAAAGTCCGTGATCCCGGTTCCATGGCACAGACTGGATCTGGTGGTGTATCCCATTACCCTCTTGGATGTTTCAAGTGGATCCAGGTTTACATCACCGGAAACAGAGCAAATCCCTTGTTGCTGAGTGCTGCTAAGTCAGCTCCGGCCCTGTTTAGGGTTTCTGAGGAGTGGCTGGTGGGTTTGAACTGTCAGTCTTGCAGTTAGCTGTCTAGTACTTATCGTCCATGTCACACCAGGACTATCGCATCCTCCAAAAAACAATTTTAAAGCATAAACTGAAAAAAAAAAAAAAATTACTTGTAGCACATACAACAAAGGGTAAAGAATGCTTATATAAATGAGGAAGGAAAAGACTACCTGATTCTGAAGACTGGGTGTTGTTGTGGTTAAGTGCCGTCCGCTTGGTTCCGACTCATAATGACCCTGTATAAGGTTCCTGAGGAGTGGCTGGAGAATTTGAACTGCCAACCTTGTGATTCAAACCAACACTGCAGTCCAGTGCTTATCCTACATCGCCACACCAGGAGGGATACTAAAGAGGCAAGTCTAATAAGACTATTGTAGATGGCCGGCCAGTAAACACATGACAGGTACCCAAAGTCTCTAATAAAGCACACTGCAACAATATGGTAACATTTTTCACTCATCAGATTGGTGAAGGCCAAAAAGACTTATAATACCCACTAGTAGAAAGGGTGTGGGAATCAAGTATTTTTATACACACTTGTCAAAATAGAAATTAGTACAACCTTTTTGGTAATACTTATTACCATGTAAAATTCATTTTCTTAGATCCAACAATTTCACTTTTTAAACTGAATGAAAATAAGAACAAGAAATTACTCTTCCACAGATATGCAGAGATCTGGCTACAAGAATGTGTATTGCCATATATTTTATAACCAAAAAAATTAGTCATTGAGAAATGATAATGTAGTTATGAGTGCAAAGAGGTCCAACTTAAGGTTAAGTGAGAAAAATTAAGTTGCAGAATACTATATAGAATATGATTCTAGTTTTTAATAACGTTGTTAAGTGCCGTCAAGTCAGTTCTGACTCATAGCGACCCTGTCTAGGGTTACCAAGGAGCAGCTGGTGAGTTTGAACCATCAACCTTGTGCGATGCAGTGCCACACCAGGATTCCTTTTTATAATAATAAATAGTAGCAATAGGTGAATATAAGCATATAACAACATTGTACGTTGTCTGTAATGATGGCTGTCTCCAGGACATCTTTCATGACTTTTATTTTCTAAAATTACTTTCTATGAAAACTTGTCAATGATTATGCATCATTTTTATCATTAAAAAATGATTTTTTCATAAAGAAAAAGCCCTTTGTCCTTTGAGTGGGAGCCAGACTGGAAGCTGGACCAATCCTGTAACTCCCCCAAAGTCTCTAATTTAGTACCGTGGGATCCAATTTCTCAATCTCCACATCCCTATTTAGGGGCCCTTTCGTCTGCCTTGCCAGTCCACCCCACCCCACCCACCTGTCTTTCAAGGCCATCTGGAGGTAACTCCATGGGCTGTATCTGACAGGTTCAAAGGGAAACCTCTGCCAACGAAAGATGCCACTTGTTATTAGCGTGGCCTTGACCTTCCCATCCGCCACGATGGCCTCCTATTACCTGTTGCTGCAGACCTACGTGCTCCGCCTGGAAGCCATCATGAATGGCGTCTTGCTCGTCTTCTGTGGCTCAGAGCTGCTGCTGGAGGTGCTCACCCTGGCCGCTTTCTCCAGGTACTGTCACTTGGGCTGTTTGCCGACACCTGAAGCCTGGGGTCCCATCCCAGAGAGGGATCACTCTGTCTTCAGCTTGAGGGGCCTGGGGGCCTTTTCAGGGCCACAGTGGTGTCTGTGGGGCTGCCTTTCTCACATAGGGACAGTTAACCAGCTTAGGGAAGATACTTTTGTTCTTGGGGACCAACAGATTGGGGATATAGAACAGTTCAGGCCAGTTCCTCTCGTCTTTTTAACATTTTGTTTCTTTCTGCCATCAGTATGCACAAGATATGAAGTATAAAAGTGTCAGCCAGCAGCCCGGATGGACTGAAACTACACTTACTTCTGGTACTTTAGGCACGCCAGTGGGACTTGGTGGGTCAGGTTATCCTGGGAAAGGTTGCAGCTTTTCCTCAGTACTGACATTTGAGCAGCGATGCAAGCCTAAGGCTTCTGGACCCATCTTCTACAGCAGGACCATGAGCCAACTCTTTTCTACTCCAGTTGAGAGAGGGGGAAGCTTATCTCCATCCTGGTCCTTCTCAGAACCAATGCCCTGCTGACCTCAAGTGCTCCTCTTGGATCACCGTGGCCAGAGCGTCTTGGGTGAAGCACCCAAGCTCCTTGGGCTTCCAGCAGACCCTCGGCCCCTGCGCACTGTGTTCCCGGGAGTAGGCACAGCCTCACAGTGCTCCGGACTTGCAGAGGCCACTCTTCCCATCCCTCAGAGATGAAGCTCCAGAACTTTTTTAGTAGCTGTTATTTTTCTACTCTCATCATGCAACAAACATTATTTGATAATAAATATGCATTTTCTATGGTGGGGGTTGCAGTCTATTCCTTCTGGTACTCTCAGGAGAACTTCATCTACTCCCAGGGAGAGCAGAGGCTGGCAGCGTTGGGTCCCAGGCCAGTCAGGAAACTCACTTTCTTCCCAATGCTGCAGCTGTCTAAGTGCTGCCAGCCTCTATATCTTCTACAGGTCTGTCAACCTGCCAGTCCACAGGAGCGCCACGCTTGCCCCCAAGTCAGCCTTTTGTATCGCAGGCCTTTACAGATTCATCGTCTATTCCCTTTCAGGGCAGAATTTAATTTAACAATCACACTCTAAACTTATCAAACCTTTGATAAATTTTGGCCATATTTATTTAAAAATCGGTATTTCTTTTAAAATTTCAACATTAAAGGGGGAGATTATTGTTTTTTAAACTGGAGAGTTGTCGCTCTAGATGAGTCTCTCCCCCTTCTCCAAGTCTCTGTCTTTATAACTCTTCCTCACCTTCCTGTCATTTCTCACTCAGTGTGGCCCCATCGGAAAGAACTGCTCCCTAGGGTTTCCGAGACTGTAGACTGTAAATCTTTACAGGAAAAAGCAGCCTCATATTTCCTGCATGGAGTAATTGGTGGGTTTCAGCTACTGGCCTTGTGGTTAATAGTCAACACTTAACCAACCACAGCATCAGGGCTTTCTTACTTGGTAATGTTAAATGCCACTGAGTCAGTTCTGACTCATAGTGACCCCTGTATATGGTTCCCGAGGAGTGGCTAGGTTTGAACCGCTGACCTTGTGTTCATTCTACAGCACCACGTTTACTTGGTGATGGTGGTGTTAAATGCTGTCATAGGTTCCGATTCATAGTGGTGATTCTGTATAGGGTTTCCAAGGAGTGGCTGGTGAGTTTGAACCACTGACGTAATTCAAATTGACTTTACAGTCCAGTACTTATCCTACAGCGCCCCACCAGGACTCTTACTTGATAGGGAGCACTATTTGTTTCAGCCCCAAGAAGCCACCAGAAGTCATGCCAATTGTCCCCTTTAGGGAAACCCTGGAACCATATAGCCCTGTCTGCTGTTCTTAGAATAAAAACGAATGGACTCTTAAGCATTCCTTGTTGGTTTCTACCACCACCTACTTTCTGTGATTAGACTCAATGTCTCCACTGTCCAAAACACCAGTGCTTTTCCCTGTTTTCTCACCTTGCTCTCCCATGCTTCTTTACCACCCTTGGGGTCTATCTAACACCTGTCATAGACAAGTTTAATTACACATGAAAAGATACCAAAATATCCCATAGAAACGTCTCTGATAGTTTGATTGCAGACCCACTAATACCATGATTTTCTGCTGCTGCGCCCACTACATCTTTCTCCAGCCCTGGCAGCTGACTGAAGAGGAACCCATTCTCCATGCCATCTTTAGTTCATTTAGAGACCCATTCATTTATCTGGTGCTGGAAGTTTAAAGGTGGTCAATAAAAATCTTAAATGTTAGTATCTCACAACTGGTTACTCACAGCTGGAGCTAAAAAAAAACATGTCTGGATCAATGAAATTCCATTTCCAAACAGGTACTACTTGATGAATAGTTTAAAATATTATTAGGAATAGGAATCTTCTCATTTGGTTCGTAGTTATGTGGAAGCTTAGTGTTTTCTGTGGGTGGCTCTATAAATGTCCGTTCTTTCTGATGCTTGCTGGAATCATCGTAGGAATGCAGTTAGTTATACCCAAGAGTGTTGTGGTTGTTAGGTGGTGACACATTGGTTCCAACTCACAGAGATCGGATGTACAACAGAACCAAACACTATCCGGTCCTGCACCATACTTACAACCTCTCTGTCTGAGCAATTAATCTGACTGAGGGGTTTGCTTCTTTTCACCGACTCCCCCCTCCCCCCCACCCCCATTTACCAAGCATGATACCCTTCTCCAGTGACTAGTTCTTCCTGACATGTCCAAAGTATGAGAGCCAAAATCTTGGCATCATTGCTTTTAAGGAGCAATTCAGCTGTGTTTCTTCCAAACGATCTGCTTGTTCTTGCAGCCCATGGTATTCAGTGTTCTTCACCAACACCATTAATTCAAATGGATCTATTCTTCTCCACTCTTCCTTATTCATTGTCCAGCTTTAGCCGTGGAATTGCCACCCTCCGCGGGTTTCCAAGGAGCGGCTGGTGAGTTTGTGGTTCAGACTGACCTTATGGTGTTTTAACTCACTGCATCACACCAGCTAACTGCAGCAATCCTTGCCCTATGTGGGCCTGCAGATCTGTCTCCACTGACAGCTTTCCTTTCCGAGTCATGTGTACCTATCTATTCTGCTCTTTTACAACTCCCAAGTCATGAGCTTTAGGGCCCTCCCTACTCTGATATGGCCTCATGCACAGAACAAAAGAATACCATTCCCAAATGGTCACAGCCACAGGGGACTGGAATTAAACACACTTTTTAGGGCGAGGGTAACAACTCATTCCATACAACCATGACAGTGATCTGTAATAGCATACAGGTAGTCCCTGATTTACAATGTATTTGAGTCACTACCACCTGCTTTAATGTTTGTCCATCTTGTCGTTAGTAACAGGAACTGCAGGCAATATTGCACCATGTAATTTTCAATGGAGAAGAGATTGAAGTTGTCAAGGACTTCATTCTTCTTGGATCAACTATCAACACTCGCAGAAGCAGCAGTCAAGAGATCAGACGATGTATTGCACTGGGCAAATCTGCTGCACAGGAACTTTTTAGTGTTGAAAAGCAGAGATGTCAGCTTGAGGACTAAGGCGCGCCTGACTTAAGCCATGGTATTTTCAATAACCTCATATGGATGCGAAAGCTGGACAGTAAATAAGGAAGATCGTAGAATTGATGCCTTTGAGTTGTGGTGTTGGAGGAGAATACTGAAAGTGCCATGGACTACCAAAAGAACCAATAGATCTGTTTTGGAAGAAGTGCAACCAGAGTGCTCCTTGGAGGCTAAGATGGCTAGGCTTTGTCTCTCATACTTTGGACACATTGTCCGGAGAGAACAGTCGCTGGAGAAGGATGTCATGCTGGGTAAGGTGGAGGGTCAGAGAAACAAGAGGAAGACCCCCAACGAGATGGATCAGCCAGGTGGCATCATTGATGGCGGCAAGTGTGGCGGCAGTAGTGAGGTTGGCCCAGGATTGGACATTGTTTTGTTCTGCTGTGCATAGGGTCGCTATGTGTCGGTTCCGACTCGATGGCACCTGACAACAATTTGCTAAGGTTATTTTCAGATGTCCAGTACTGATTTACTGTTTAAAACACTGCATAGAGCAGGCAGTAATAAAACTAAGGAGTGTTAGTGTGGCACTGTAGGATAAGCATTGGCTTAACCACAAGGGTGGTGGTTCAGACTCACCATCCAGTCCTTGGAAAACCTATTCAGGTTCACTGAGTCCACAATATTTTTTAAAAAGAGGTCTTCAACTTGTATCAGAACAAGGTCAGATGTACCCACCCAGTGTCAGGCAGAGTGGATTTAATCTACACCATGACCCTGAGGCAGAAACAGACCAACATTCAATAGAGTATTCAAGCTTAGAAATCATAGTGAACCGGGACTGGAACCTACAAGTAACTGAACGTTCATTCACTTTCTACACCAAGGAACTGCCTAGGTCAAATCAAAGAATGCATATGCTTTTCTGTCTAAACTAGCATTCCTCACATTTGAGCTCACATAAAGACCATTGGGTTCATAAGTATATCCCAAGGCCTGACCTGACCCAGGAATAGGCACTTAACGTGTACTATAACTGAGATGCAACAACCATGGCCCCTGACTTCAACACCAGTTCTGAGATGCACTCCAACTTTCCTTCTCCCCTTTAAATGTTACATCCTCAGGGACCCTCTTCTAGAAGTTGTGACTTTATACTGCTTTCTCCTTATAACCCTACACTATCTGGTCCCTGGCTCATCTTTTATTGCCTACCCCTCATTTAGCTTCCTCTAAAAAGCCAGCTTGCCTGGAATACCATAAAGATCAGCCCAGAAAACACTTGTACTAAGCTTTCTTGCCCACACTTGTCTATATTTAGATAGCCACTCAGTTTACAAAACATCTTGGTATTTGTTCTCTCTGATCCTTAAAACATCCCATGAGGAGTATCTTCACTGGACAGATGAAAACAGACCCCGAGATTGTGTTGCTTGACTAGTTGTATGCTGATGGTGGAACATAGGCATTAGCATTTAGATCTAACTCCTATCAGGATTTTCTGTCTGAACTTGATGGCACTGGAACTGAACTGTACATGGCAGGAACTTTGCTCTAACAGTAAGTAACAGGAATCTTGAAGGTTAAAGGTGTTTTTTCAGCCAGGTTGTTCAGATGCCTAAGGAAAAACACAAAGGTTTGCATTGGAGATGTCCTGGAGGGCTTACCACAGGCAGGGGCAGCCGCTGCCCACGTTATGTCAGTGAAGTCCGTTTCAATACCGTTAACACGGCCTGTTACCAGCCCTTCTCCATAAACCCAAACCCAACTCACCTCAACAAATCTATTCAATGCAGAATCCATAAAACAGCTCACACCCCATTTATTTTAAAATATTGTTACAAAAGGGGAAAAAAATACAATGCAGTATAAAAGATTGACAGCGTCATCAAGTTTATTACACAATTTTCAACCTATCAGAAAGACAAATCACCGACAACAGGGGACGGGGCCTTGGCCTTTTTGAGGGTTGGGGCTTTTTTTTAACCTTCCTTTTGCTATCACGAAATAAAACTAAACGTAATTGTGTCATGAATAAAAAAACAAAACAAAAATGGGGAGCAAAATTCTCCAGGTAAACGGCTTTTCTGGCATTCTAGATCTTTTTTTCCTTTAAACTGTCACCTTACTTGGTTTTCTCTACATTGTAAAACACCGACTGCTGTTGAGGCACGGCACGCGCCGTGTTCCAAAGTGGAGGTTGGGGTTGAGGACCAAGAAAAAATGCTTTCACCTGCAGCTTCTGTCCCAAGGGGATATGTCTCTCAAGCTGGGTTCCCCATCTACCTGTGCCTGATGAAGGGCTATCAGGGATGTGATGGGAACAGAGAAAGGCTCAAATTCAGTCTCTCTGCCCCAGTCCCAAGGGTCGCAGTGACCCTGCGTATCACATCTCATCTTGAGGAGGCAGGTGGGAGGACTACAGGACCTCCTTCAGTGCCAACCACATCACAGTGTGGATAGGAAGGAAAAGCACTTCCATTTGCCCAGGGAGAAAATGGCCCCTAAAATGGTGGTCCTTAGAACTCTGAGGCTGAGTTCATGCAAGTCAGATTCCACTTCTTCCTGGCTCCCCATCGGTGACAGCAAGTGCCCCCAGGTGGACAAACACCACATTTCTGCCCTGCCCTGCTGTGACAACAAGTACCTCCAGGCAGAGCACATGCAGCTATGACGTTAAAGGTGGACAGTCACCACGGTCCTGACCTGCCTTGCTCCCAGTGCCAGGCTATCCCACAGTAAGTAAAGGTCTGCGCTTACAGGATGCAAGCCCATGCTTACCTGGAGCCTGAAACAGAAAAGCCTATGGAGGTAGGCCATATCCTGCCCACTCGCCTCCCTCCCCACGCCTGGTGCATCACATCATGGGGCTCTTCAATGCTGAGGTCCTAAATGTTCCCATATCCCAACAGCAGCATCTTCCTCTAAAACAAGGAAGCAGCCTTTCCGGGGTGGGGCTCCAAGTGTGAAATGGAAACGCCCCAAGGAAAGGGACCACTAGTGAGCTGGTTACTGCTGGAGGCATCCCAAGAGTCAGCAGCAGAGCACAACCACACAGCCTTCTCTGTTTTGGAGGAGGCTGGGCAGCAGGGAGGGGAAGAGTGTAACCTCTGGGAGTTCAGGGAAAGGACCCGTCCACATGTGTGAGGGAAAAGCAAGAACAGAAACAGCTTTTCCTAAGGATTTCTGTTCTCATGGTCCTTCCAAGGGCTGGGAAGGTAAAATGTTAAACAAAGACGTGGTATGTTAGCAAGAAGTTTGGACCCTCGTGGCCCCTCAAATCTAGTGCTGAGGGCAGGCCCTAGGCAGCTGTTGGCACACCCAGTCACTCTCCTAAACCCCACCTGGAGGATCCATTTTCTCTGGGAAGATCTCCCATCAGCCTCACCATGAATTGTTCGGGAGAATCAAAAATGCCACACTGCCTTGGACAGAGCACCGTTCTCTCTAGAGACGTGTGGTTTTCCTCCTGGCTGCCATCCCCCAGCTCCCCAGACCACACCAAGTGTTTAAGTGCTCTCCCCTGGCAAAAAGGAGGTGTGGGGTTGGGGTGCTGCCAAGCAGTCTTCAGTCCTGTGGGGCAGAGGGCATTCCCTGGGTGTCTGGAGGGAGTTAGGGGCTTGGAAGAGGGGAAGGGGTGGAGCGGCCTCCGTCCTTTAGTCCTGATCAAGGTGAGGAGATGCAAGTCCATTAAAACCATTTGCTTCTGACCAGACTCCTGCAATGAGAACATCAGAAGAGAGGAAAGACAAGTCAGAAGTCATTTTGTGACCCACAGCAGCTTATGCGAAAGTGCTTGGCATTTTCTCAGGTTGCAGCAGGACTGATGGCCTGGGACGCTCTGAAAAGGCAACAGGTGTTTCCCTGCAGGAAACAGAGAAGCAATGACTTGAAAATTAGGCGGAAGACATCGACCAGGAAATAGTCTCCCAAGGCAATCTGACTGACCAGAAGATTTTGGCTAGAAAAGTAAAGTATGGAAATGGTTACATTTCAAGAAAAGCTGCTACAAGGAAACAAGATGAGGCTAAGTATAGCTAGCAGATCTGTTTCGAGTGGCTTTGCTTACTTTGAGAAAAGAAATCTGGAAATGGTGGGTATAACGGTGGCAAAACAAGTGTAGACATAACCATCCGATAACAACCCCCCATCCAGGAGGCCCCAGCTCACTCACTCACACAGAAAATGCCAGGTTAATGCAGATTCCAAGCAGCGCCCTGTGAATGAGTGCGTGTGTACACACCCAACGGTACAGGACTAGGCGAAACTACTTGTCATATCTTCACCAAATTTAGGTCCCTAGTCCACTCAGCCTTCCCAAGGTTGCAATCAATCTGCCAGTGGTAGCCTAGTCAGTCTGACAAGTGAACCTAAATTAAATAGAATTAATAGTCAAAAGGAGAAGTGGGGATTTAAGTTGGGCTCAGAATTTCTACTAATGTCCAAGCTGGCAATAGCTGACACAAACAGCGTTTGTACGTATGTTTCTCTATAAAATAGCCTCATAAATGGCACACACTGGAGGAACTTATCCAAAACAGAAAAACAAAAAACAAGATGGAGATGCCCAGAAACTGTTGTGGCCTCAGGCTGGCTGGCTCTTCCTGACACCTAAAAGGCAGGTATCTGTCCCATTTCTAAACGAAGGCCTCAGTGTCTTCTGTTTCATACCATTATGGCTTCTGAATCTTGGACAGGATCGAGTCTTGAAAGGCTCAGTTTCAATGAGTCAGAAGTATAGGCATGGGGTGAGAATGACTCCTGGCTATGGGAAAACGTCCTGAAACCTGAAGACAAAACTGACATAGCTGGTGACTATCCTCAAACGCAGAGACCCGTCCATGAAGAGCGACACTTTGTGGACTGTCCCTACAAATGACACACGGAGGACAGGTTCACAAAGAAAAGTAATGGCGGCAAGACTGGTGGGCCACGTGGTGAATGAAACTCTGTGATTACGTTAGAGAGGCTGCGGCTTGTCATCAGACTTCAGGTGCCAGAGGTGGTCTCTAACATGACAAAAGGAAGACAACAAGATACACCTTTCGTTCTTAGGGATCACCTGTCCACACATTAGAAATACCATTATTTTCTAACAGAAAGCTTGCAAAACTAAATTCTCTGAGTGAAAGAGGACCATGAGCCATCTCCCCAATGTGAAACCCTTTTAGTCTTGTAACTGAAGAAGGAACGAAAAGATGAGACTGACAATGTGAAAGATTTGCTGGGTACAATGTTCTTTTCCAGGACAAAGACAAAATAACCAACATTTGTAGGGTGATCAGGAACAGTGGGCAAGTGGATAGATACCCTGCCTCCTCATCTTGTTCAGAGCCCCACACCAGTCAGCAAACTTTTCTGGGAGTTACTGTGCAACAGGCTTTCCAGAGCTCCCATAATTGAAGCAATGGTCCTATTTTACAGGTGGAAACAGACGATGCAGCATCACACCTACAGTGCTGCGTTGGGATATTCAGTCTCCAAACAGGAATAAGTGGATCTCACTCCGAGTTTCTCGGTTAAGAAGGCCAAGAAAACAGAGCCAACAATACTGTGGCATGTAGTTCTACGTTCCAATTAGTAACACAGTCCCAGAGACTATAATTCATAGTCTACATGGACTAATAAACACCTCTCTTTGGTTCCGTTATCCCAGTTAACACACACTGTAGGTACAGGACTGGGGTGGTGGGGCGAGACTGGCAAGGATATCAGCATTCCTGTTAGTTCCAACAAGACACGTGAAGTGCTGCTGCTGGAGGAGAGGGATGGCACTGGGCCAAGGATGCACCTGCTCCCGCTCAGCCTGGAGACGGAGGCACCGCCCCAAACCTACTCAACCTGTTGATTCTGAGTGAGTTATCCTACAGAGCAAGGATGGCCAACACTCTATAGAATTTTTGCAGAAGAAACGAGAGGGTTAAGAACAAAAAGGAAGCAAGCAAAATAGGTAAGTTAACTTTTCATCTTCCTACTTGTCTCCCAGAAGAAGTCAGAAACAATTTCTACCTGTAAGTCTACTGATGTTTGGGGCAGATAATGCCAAACAGTACAACAGGTACATTTTCTCATTAGCAGCCTGTCACTAAGTAAAAGATACTGCATAACCTTCCAGCTGTGGTAGTGCAGCTGTAGGTCTTGAATACAGACTTCTCAGGAGGTGGGGGAACGCTGTTTCACTTCTTCAGCCATCCATCCATCTGCCCTCCCTGCATGCCAAGAGAACTAGTGTCTCCTCACCCTCCTTGCTCTCCCCCAGGCTGATCAAATGCACTTGATGTGAAACACGAGAGTGGGATTCCCAAAGACTTACAAGTCTGTGTGGCAGTCGCCCGGGTTATGCAGCTACTTTTTTGAGTCACACAGACCAATCTCAGCGCCTGACCTGAGTGCTCCACTGAAACAGAGCCAACAACAGCTCTGCACTCTTTGCTATGAGCTTTCAGTTGAGAAGCAAGGCTGTTGGGATATAAGCAGGAACTACTGGAGGTTTTCCACATGTAGCCTGCCTGATATGAACAACAACAGAGAAAAGCAGAGCCACAAGATAGCGAACAAGCCCTAACAACACAGCTGGGGTCCCTGAGTAAACACCTGCTTTTGTTTTGCTTCCAAAAAAACAAAAAGTTATGGGTTTCTACCATTTGTTGGCCAGTAGGTTTCTTGTATCAACAACAAAAAACTTTCTTCACTTGAAGTTAATCATCCTCCACTTGGTCTCTAGAGCTGTTGCAGATAATTTTCACATCACTTTCTCCTCTCCTGACTAGAGTTTTCCAATTTTCGAAGTCTAAATAGACATTACTTACAATCATTTATGTTGCACATTCAAAATCAGGAGGCAAAAGTCGTCCTTTTCTTGTCCTGGTCAAATTTCCCAATTTCTCTTTTGCCTTGATAGTTTGGTGGGCTCAGATGGAGTACTAATATTGACAATGGCGCACACTTGGCGGCGAGCGTTAGGTGCCAGGCCCCCTAAGTGTGCCGTGTGCTGGATCTGGATGATCTCAAGAGCACTCAGCAGTTCTATGAGATAGCTGCTTTTACAGAGTGCCTCATTTCCAGGTGAGCATGTTGGAAAGTGAAGGAGCTGTGATCAGAACTCTGCTCTCCAACCCCAGACTCCATGCCCTGAGCCACTAGGCCATCCCTGCTGCTGTTGCTCAGAGACCAGCTGTAAGCAGCCATGAACAAGCAGAGGTAGTTGAATCTCAAATCCGTGCAACAGGGGCAGCAAGCAGGAAGTCTGTACCCCCGAACTGACCCCAAAGCCTCCCAATCCCCTTTATTTGCTTTAAAAAGAGAGGAAAACACATTCACTATCCATTTTCTTGCAACTCTGAGCCAGGAATGGGATGGCCCACCTTCCTCAGTGATGCCGGTCCCGTTCTCTATCCCGGTGTCTCTCGTGCTCCCGGTTCCTTTCTTGGAAATAGTCATCATGCCGATCTTCATTATGAAGCAGGTCCCGGTGCCTCCTGCTGCTCTCCCGGGACCGGCTCGGTGACCTCTCCCGGGACCGATGTCTTTTCCTATTAGAAAGAGCCTTCAGTCTCACTTAAAGGGCCTACCACATTCTTTCCAAGAGAGCTATGTGTTTTGGTGTCTTCCAATATTCATCTACACTATGATTCTCTCACTCTAGCGCATGCCCGTTTGTCTGGAAAATACTAGCTCTTTGACACTAGTCTTTTAGCGGGACAGTGGTTACGAATCGGGCTGCGAACTGCAAGGTCAGCAGTTCAAAACTACCAGCTGCTCCGCGGAAGAAAGATGAGGCTTTCGGAAACCCTGTAGAGGGTTGCTATGGGTCGGAACTGACTCCATGGCACTTAACACCAACAACAACTAACAGCGAAATCTGGTGAGATCTTACTATGATGTGTCAGATGCAGAGCAAAGAGCTTTAGAACAGGTTTAAATAATGAAGACTACTATGTCCCTTTTAAAAACCTGGGTCACTTCCTCAAGGCCATGCACAGTCAGTCAGTGGCCAAGTTGGGATTAAAATCCAAGCCTGTGTGGACTTCAAAGCCCACTATTCTTTAACAATCATGTCGCTAAGTGTTCTTGAGTCGGTTCCGACTCACAGTGACCATGTAGTATAGGATTTCCGAGCTGGTTGAATTTGAACAGTTGGTGAATTTGAACTGCTAACCTTGCAGTACAACGCATTAACCTGCAGCACCACCCAGGACCCGGGAACTAGTCAAAGCAGTCTCTCTTTCTCCTAAATGAGCTCACAGCTTCCTCCACCACAGAGTACAGACAGGATAACACTGATTAATGCAAGTGTTTCAGTTCTCAAATGCAGGAGGGCTGGGCCCACTCTTTCAGCCAAGTGTTCCATGCCTCTTCTCTCCCTTACCAACCAACCCCTGAAGAGTGCTGACGGGGTGGGCAGGCCACCTGGAGCTTACCTGGAAGAGCTCCCACTGGCACCCACACTGTAGGACTTGGCTTCGATGCCATGAAGACAGTCCTTGAGAGAGGAGATGAGGACACGGCAGCGCTCATCATTGGCGACCCGGGACTGTTTGATCACTGCGATGGCTGTGAGCAGTGTCTCGATGGCGTCACTGTAATCCCCTGACAAGTGGGGAGGAAAAGGCCAAGGGTGAGCAGAGGCAGGCAGCTAAAGGTACACAGGCGCTGACCACATGCCCAAGGTAAAACAGACACAACAAAAGTAAAAAGGCTGAAACTATGTAGGTGGTCTGGAAATCAGAAAGATGTTTTTAGATCCTGTTAGAAGACTTACAAACTGAAACATTGTTGCCCAAATGTAATCTGGCATCTATTCAAACAACATGTATACTTTTTAGTAACAATTCTACTAAAATCTTTCTATTTACAAGTATCTCTGTTGAAGACTGTTTGCTCCTTCAATAGATCTGGCTGTTTAAGTAAAAAATTATGAACACTGGTTCTATAGAGTATTTATATAGTTACTAAGATGCATGAGGTGGATCTGTATGTAAACAAAATAATCCATGGAAAGCAATTCACACTGGTGCCAAGCACACAATAAGGGCTCCATTAATATCAGGTATTATTAGATAGAGACATGGAAGAACAGTGAGCAAAACAGATAAAGACTACAGCGGATTTTCATTTTTTTAACATTACATATTTCTGTCTAAATTATTTTAGAATACACACTTTCTTACAAATGTTTCACCTCTAATCTGATATATATGTATGTGCATACAAAACCACAATAGATGTTTACATAACACATTAGATGTATGTACACATAGTATATGAAGGGGTTCAAAAAGTGTGGCAATAATGGAATTAAAGGAAAATGGAATTTATCTACAAACTTTTTGAAGGTTTCCTGTATATGTAACTAAAAAATTAAAATTATGTTGCCCTGAAAAATTAACTCCTTCATTTCCTAACACCAGGCTGAAGGATAAGGACCAAGGAATGGGTACTTGTACGAGGCTTTCCCAACCACGGACAAGAGCATTAAACACAGAAGGCCATGAAAGAAAGCCTGACTCTGGACTCTGGACAGGAGGCCGGTGAAAATGCCCTCTGTGCTCCATGATCACGTGGGGGTCCAGAAAGACCAGTTGGTCAGCCCGCAAGTACAGGGAATTTTCTATCCCTTTGCTGGAGATACTCAGGAACTGTAGTTTCAGTAACAAAAAGGGAGATAGCAAATCCCTAACTAATTCTCTCAGTGGTAGGGAAGAGTAGTTACAATGAGCAGGTATATACTTTTTTAAACCTAAAAATATTCAGATGTCAATGAAGGTTTTCTGCGATTTCAAGGTTTGCAGTCAAAGATATGAAATTATAGAAACTGGTAACATTTAGGGTTAGCTTATTTCTTAGGAGAGCTGAATGTCTGCTACATTTACATTCATGAGAGAGGTGGAAATGCACAGGAAGTGAGGAATGGAATATGACATACATGACACCTGAACCAGAACTCTGAAACTTCTTACTTTTTTTCTTGGGGACCTAAGATTTTGTGCCTAAGGCTCTCAGAGTTTTGTGCCTAAGGCTTCTGGTTCTGTCCTTAATACTGAGAACAGGGCAAAAGTTAGCTGTAAGTGCTTCCACCTTATAATTCCGAAAGGACTCGTCCTGTTTAGAATACACTACACTGAGTCTATCAGCTCTGCCTAGACTCCCAAGTATAGTCCAGACTCCACATAAGACCAAGATCTAGATGAACCATCATTCCTAAAAATGATGGACCTGGACCACTATGTAGACATTACACTGAGATGAAGATTTACATGAGCACAGAACTCATTCTATACCAAACATGTCAATCAACCAGCATTTTCTCATTCATATTTTAAACACCAAATTGGTTTCAACAGGACAGGTCTAGATGCAGATTAAATAAATAACACCAAGACTTTCCAGAAGTCAAGAAAACTGGGTTACATATTGCTCTGCAAAATGTATCACTCCGGAGACTCTTCACGGCGTTCCAACTTTATCCTGTTGACACTGGAAACCACAAAGGCAAGGGGAAGGCAGCACAGGTAAAGTATAACTTACCTGCACTGGCTCCAGATACAGCTTTGGAAATGGCACTGCTGGAAATTGCTCTGTTTCGCTTCATGATCTCCTCAAATTCAGCTTCACTCACAGTGGAGGGCGGAGGACCCGAATCTCGGCTGCAGAGAGAGAATCCCAATCCTTGGTGCCTGCGCCCCTTCTTATCCTTAAGATACTGTTAAGGTCCCTGGGTGGAGCAACTGATTTGCAATTAGCTATTAATCTAATGGGAGTCTTGGTGTGGCACTGTGGGTTAATGCGCCAGACTGCAAAGCCGTCTGAACTGCAAGGTCGGTGGTTCAAGCTCACCAGCTGCTCGCTATGGGTCAGAATCAACTCGACAGCACTTAACAACAACATTAATCTAATGGTTGCTGGTTCCAGCCCAATGGTTCCACTGAAGGCAGGCCTGGCAAACGACTTCTGTACAAATTACAGCCAAGAAAACCTTAGGGAACAGGTCACCATGAGCTGGAACTGACTTGATGGCGATGGGTGTGGTGTGGAAAGGTTTGTAACTCTTTATTTACTGGGGCTCCACTGTTAATGTTTTCAATTGCACCTCTGCTTTCTGTGTTCAACGTTTCTTCCTTGACACGATTCTCTCGTTTGCTTTTGTAGTCCTAGCAAGAGCCCACAGTGCTAGACAATACGAATCGGGCTGCGAACCTTAAGGTCAGTGGTTCGAAACTACCAGCCGCTCCGCGGGAGAAAGATGAGGCTTTCTACTCCCGTAAGGATTTACACCCTCGGAAACCCTGTATAGGGTCGCTATGGGTCGGGACCGACTCGAAGGCACTTAACAACAACAACAACAACAGCTACTTAAGGCACTCCATTCCACCACGTCACTAAGAGGGTCAAGTGGATAAGTTACAAGGAAACTACCAAATAAAAACATTAACCAGAGATGGAAAACTATCCCCCCCAGGCCTCAACACTATGACAACATAGCCTGTGAGGGAAAACCCGTAACTAAGTGCTCACTTCCTCAGGGAGAACACCTAGCACCAATGGAGAGAGAGCGCCCTTACCTGCCATGGTGGTTATAGGGTGCTGAGGCCTTCATGTAAGGATCTGGTGGAGGCCCCACAGAGGCATTTGGTGGGGGAAAGAAGGCTGGATTGAGGTGAAGGGCAGGTGGGATGGCCCCAGGGGGAGGTACAGCCAGATGAGGAGGTAATCGTGGAGGGGGGGGCATGAGATGTTGGTAGTGGATGCCAGGAGGAGGAGGAGGGACCCCAAAACTTGAGGAGAGAGGTGGCGGGGGTGGAATTGGGGGTGGCGGCAGACCCATCAGGGGGAGGGCTGAAGGAGGACGATTGAAGTAGGGCAGCACACTGGGGGGCTTATCCACACGGGCAGATGAGGTTACAAGATTCTCAGAGGGGGTGGCCCGTCCATCAGCAGAATCACTAGAATCTCGGGAGTGGGCCCGTGGAGGTATTCCTATGAAGCAAAACAGAATGAATGTTACTGCCCAGATGCTAGACATGGGATCAGCTCATCTTTGAACGAGTCATCTGATACCACAAGAAAGGGGACTAGGGCAGTTGAGAAAGGTGGTAAAATCACCTAAAACTGCCCTGTCTTTGGTCTCAGCTCTAATACAGAACTGGAAAAAATAGCCCCCTAGATGGCCTATGTCATCCAGAACTCAGTAATCTAGCCCTCTGATATTTTTTTTATGTTTAAAGACAGAGATCCTAATAGTCCCTGAGAAACGCTGTTGCTCAGCTGGATTCACAAGGATGTGAAATCGCATGCAGCCCCCATCAGGGCTCAGGGCCTATCTGTCCTGCTGCATACCTGGGTCAGGGAATTTGGGGCTGGGGCTGAGGGGGCACAGGACAGATGACACTTCCTGCCTACACAGAGAAGTGGTCACTGAAGTAGGGAAGACACACATAAAGAGTAGAAGGCTGGAGGATAATCTAGAGGTAAAGAGCAACTGGGAGCGAAGCCAAGAAAAGTTCTGCCCACAGAAGGCGCAAATGGCATGCAGCTAACAACAAGACTCCCAGCCAGAAACCACCTCTAACACAGGGAGCTCCCACCACCCTTCAGCGGCCAGACCCACACCCCACAAAGGAGTCAACTGGGAACACAATCATGGCATGAACAACAAGGGGCTTACCACGCTTGGATCTAGTGGGAAGCATGGCTTCTGATACTGTCAAGTCACCTGATTAAACATATTCCCTCTACAGTTTCAAAGTCTAGTCTAAGCCTAGGAGTCCCCTGGTGGTGCTGTGGGGTAAGCACTGGACTGGAAACTGTGAGGTTTATAGTTCAAACCCACTAAGTGCTCCGTGGGAGGAAGATGAGACTGTTCCCTAAAGATTTACAATCTTGGGAACCCTCGCTATGAGTTGGAACTGACTGGACAGCAGTAGGATTACTCTAACCTGGTTACTGTGAAATACAGCCAATGAACATGATCACACAGTCCCGGAGGTAAAAAGACGCATCAGTAGTTAAGAGTGAAGCGAAAGAGAAAGTGTTTCTTAAATTAAAACTCTGTATCAATCCCAACTCCTGATGAAATCATAAGGTGGAAGGAATGGCCCTGACACTCCCCTTGGGTTCCCTACTGCACTGTGTGGGCCCCCCACTCTTTTCTTCATTCCCAGAAGGAAAAGAGACTGGCCAACGTGACTAAAAGTTAACCACCTTACCCACTACCATTCTCACTCCTGCAGGGTTGGTTCCTATCTATGGCTGTAAATCCCGTAAGTAGTGACTATTTTTAAGTAGAAAGGCGATCAGCTACACTTAGCAAATGAACAGAGCCCAAGTCCATCAATGTGACAGAGTATAAAAATAACTAGGTCACCACCATCATTCATGCTAAGGAAAGAGAGCGGAGGTAGGAATGCTACCCTCAACTCACCGCACAAGTATACACCTTTGCCAGGTGGAATAATAAAAGATTCTGAAATGGGAGGGACTGGACAATTCAAGTTGCCAAGGGAAAAGTGTGTGCCTGGAGCTCACATCACATCCGTTGAGGCCCAATCCCACTAGGACAGACTTGCTCTGCAAGAGAACACTGGCCCTAGAGCCACCTGGATGCTACCTCCAATTAACAGAGGACATTAATTAGTATGAGCACTGACAGAATGTAGGTGAGGATGCTCTGCCATCTCCCTGCTGGAAAGGTAAAGGTGGTGGGTTGGCTGCTGCAGGCAGGGCCTTGTGGGAAGCATACACCTGGTGAGCTCAAGACAATCCTAGCTCTAGAGCTTAATCACTTCATCTGGGGTGATTGGATCCTAGGAGATGGATTCATGCTAACCAAACTCATGAGACACTGACTCATAACCCAGAATGCCACTGTATTAATTTACAGTGAGAACTGTAATGACCAATCAGACCTGAAAACTTGTGTCAGCTGCTCAGCACATTCTCTTTCCAGTAGGAGAGTCTATTTGGGAAACCAAATTAGTATCAGAGAAGGTTGCTTGGTGAGTCAAGAGTCAGAATTAAGGGAGTAAAGAGGATCATTAGGGATGTTACCATCAAGTGAAGTAGCAGGAAGCAACTTCCTTTACTAAGTGGGGGATAGACTTGCCAAGCAGACCAAAATATTCAGTAGCTGGAAGGACACACTTTCCCCTGGACAATGCTGGAGGGACTGGATTAGATTCTTAGTCTCTGTTTTTATGGTGGATTCCTTGCAGGCCACACTTCCAATGTACACTTATGACAAGTCTACAGCCATCTTTACATGAATGACCTCTTAGGGTGGCTACCTCTTGATAGGAGTCCTGGTGTGGTGCTGTGGGTTAATAATGCACCAGACTGCAAACGTGTTTGAACTGTAAGGTTGGCGGTTCAAGCTCACCAGCTGCTCCTTGGAAACCTATACAGGGTTGCTATGGGTCGGAATCGACTAGATGGCACTTAACAATCACCACCATCTCTTGATAGGAGGTATCTGCTTTCTCTATGAAATACCTTTAAATGACAATCTAGCATAGGCTGTAGTGAAGTCATTCACTACACACTAAGTTTACACAGAAACAGAATTCAGAGTTGTCAGGGACTTTGGACAGCATGTATGCCATTTTGATGGGGAACCCGACTCCAGTCAGTAGTGACCTGTCCAAGGTTAGTGGTACAGTTGAATTACAAGTGGACCCCGCCTGGCTCCAGTGCTACGCTTTCTCTTCTACACATGCTGCTACCCAACACCACAGAAAACACACCCACAAACCTCCCCCCTTTCATACAGATGGTCTCCACGTACCCCCTCTTGGGACTCGGACGCACTCACGTTTCCGAGCCTGAGCTTCAAACTGGGACAGGTTTTGTCGGGTGGCCGGCCTCACATCCACTTTTTCACCATTAAGAACTTTTCCAGGCAGGAGTTCCAACAATTTGTGGACGGAGTTTTCAGAGGCTACCACCACCTCAGCATACCTTGAGAAAAAAATGAGAAGGATAAAACAAATTCTCTTCCACTTTCAGTGAAAACTGATAAAGCAAAGGTTATTTTGCTACTACAACTACTAAACACACACACAAAACTACACCAAAAGGGCATCATCTTGTAATCTTCCTGTTTATTTAAATTAAGAAAAACAACAGCTCCTTTGGCCCCCAATGGATGGCTGTTCCACAACATTGCAGTTACATTCCCCTTCTAAGATGGTTTGCCAAAACCCAGGCAGTAAACTGGGCCAGAGTGGAGAGGATAAAATCTAGGTTCAGATACTGTGCAAAGCTATTACTCCAACGTTACAAACTTAAAAGGTGTTCCTCAAATTGAGACCTCACCCTTTGGACTGGCCATTTGCTCGATTCTCGGCAAATTTTAACTCCACCACATCGTAGACTCCTACAGAGCGAATAACCTGGATCAGCTGCTGGTCTGTGGTCCACTGGGGCCGGCAAATAAGGAAAAGGAAGAAATGTGAAGAGCTACACACCCTGTCCCCACCCAGAATATCCCAAACCCTTCCCTCAAACCTAAGTTCTAGTCACAACGTGGCCTCCCACAGAAAACCCAGACGAAGCCTAATAACATTTCAATTAACACAGGCTTTTCTTATTGTCCTCACTTAATAAAGAATTCTAAACCCACCCACCCCCTTCCCCAATCCCCATCTTTAGCAATGATGAAGATTTACACTTAATTTTGACTGCTATGTAGGGGGCTGGCCGGCCGTCAGTTCCAACACTGGTTAATGTTGTTAAGCAGCTTGAAATGACTGATCACATGGGCCAGACACTTTCCCCTCAGTATATACATGTCTTCATTTGGAAACCAGCCCCCAACCATGTGACGTAATAACTTTGGCAGAACAGTCACACCTACCCAGAGTGCACTAGAGTTAGCAAGATCTTTAGTCCCCGTCATCCACCATTATCACTGGACCATCTAATGACCACCAAGACTCTGAAATCTCATCCCACAGATGACCCTGCTAGACATAAAGCCCCAGGGTCAGGGGCAGTAACAATATGGCAGGAAAAGCAACTACCCACTTAATCATTGCTTTCTTCGGCACCAGTAGGTCCTCATGATAGTTCTCTTTCAGAGATCAATCCAACCTGATCCCAGGAAAAAGAAATCCAACCCCATCAGAGCACAAACAGTGCAACAATGTGCTTTCTGAAAACACCATCACCTCCCGGCACACTCCCTCCAAGCCACCCAGCTGCCTTTTGGCTGCCCTGCTCACCCAGGAGAAGCTGCCCACATAGACAGCAGCTCGCCGATTACGCAGACCACTGTACGTGTACAGGATTGCGGGAGTCTTGTTGTTGGGCTTGGGAGATGGCTCCTGGCGAACAGGAGGCGGCGGCTCAGCGCTGCTGCTTCTGTCGTCTGAGGGCTGGGAGGTGGCTGTCAGCACATCATCATACAGGTCAATCTGATCTGTATTGTTGAACTCTGGGTCCTAAGACATGAGGAGGTGGCATTTCACTGACCTTTCATTTCTTCACTCTACTTCACTCTAGTGTACGTAGAAGCCACACTACTGAAAGAAATACTTTGTACAACATGTATCCTTATCCGGGTCTCCTAGGAAACCAGGTTAACAAAAACTTCCCTTTAAACATATCATTTCTTTCTACTGACGTAGGTATTACGCCCTAGATGGTTAGCAGTCTGTGATGTTTTTGGCTTTAGCCACTATAAGAATCAAGCAAGCCAAGAATACGTAAGGTACAAGGCCACTGCTGTCCATGAGGTCAGCTCCTAAAGACCACAGCTAAGATACATGAAGGAAAATTTCTTTTCAACACCTTAGGCCATTTTCAAATTCAATAGAAGCTCACAGTATAGTCCCATCTTTCTAATAATCATCAAGGAAACATTAAGACACAAAAAAAGGGAGTAACTGGGGATATTTCCACTTCTAAATTCTATTTCTCCAGTGACTTTCAAACCCAATACAATTTCACCATGATACTTACGTAAGAGGCATCTTGGAGCAACACAGAGATGTTCAATGATACACTCAAAGAAGCAAAGTTCTCTAAAACGTTGAGTCAGAAAACAAGACAAACACCCACAGCCCAAGCTGTGTCACCGTACGCATTCACAACATAAACGTGCATGAAGAAAAGATGTGCACAACATAACTTTTGGCTGTGATATATTTATATTAAAACCAAAACACTTACTATAAAGGGAGCTTAGTGAATTAGATTTTGCAGTATCATTAGCTCAGAGAGATATTTTTAAGGCTTGACAAGTATTTTTCCAAAGCATTCAGACAGTGCTAAAGCACGGGTCTGCCCAATCACAAAGAGTGAAGTAGTGCTCTCGAAGGATTATAACAACGGATGAAGTGACTTTTCAGTCCTTTCTCTACCATGGACCACAAGACCAAAATCACATGACTGGTTCACATATGGATACATGATCTATCTAGTTGTGATGATTTGTGATTCTGTTTTTACAAGGCATCTTTGTTGTGGATTTCAGAGTCTATGCATAACATTTGAAATTACTGAGCACTACTTCATGTCATGTTTTTTCCCCCTCCGTCTTGTTGTAATCAAAGATTTTGAAAGGGAGCTTAAAAAAACACACCATCTTGGACAGTAAGTACAACCAAGTCAAGATTCTTCTTACACAGTGTCTAATTCAGAGATGTGAGGCTGAAAGCTGTAATGCAAAAATTACCATTTGTAATTGGGTGGTGAGCTAGCACACTGAGTCAGACAACTCAGAGACCCCCTTACTGTAAGCTCAAGAAATCTATGATTTCAGAGCCCCTTAGAAAAAGTGAAGAAACACTGATGGCACAATGTATTAAGCACTGGGCTGACCAAAAAGGCCAGGGGTTCCAACCCAGCTGCCTCTCTGAGGGCCAACTACATGGCAGTCTGCTTTGATAAAGTTGGTAGCCTTGAAAACCTTATGGAGAAGGCCTACTCTGTCATACAGGGTGTCAATGGTTTTAGAAAAAATGATAAGAATCAATCCTGGAGGAGTCTGGCATACGTAACACCATTGTAAGAAACATAAAAGGATTCAATGAATACACAACTCCAGATTCAAATGATTTCTCGGGGCCCAAGATTCAGTCCAATGAAGCGGTGGGAACTCTTCGTGTGGCATAAATCCAAAATTGCATTTGGATTTAAAGCTACTAAAAAATTCATTTTCTGGAAAGTTCAACTGTTAAGTGAAAAGCAGATAAGGGTCTGAGCCATTGATTTTTCAGGGATGGATTAGGTTAAAACAAATTTAATTAGGTAAACTAAAATATAATATTTCTCATCCAATGATGTTGAAGGTTCCATTCAAGGAAGACTAAATAGAAAAGACTGAATACTGAATGAATCCACCTGGAAGAACTGTGTGTAGCTACAGGACAGTGAGGAGTCCTGGAGTAGTGCCGTAGGATAGGCACTGTACCGTAAAATTGGTCTGAACCATGAGGCGGGCAGTTCAAACTTATCAGCCACTCCTCAGAAATCCTATTTGGGGTAGCTATGCGTGGGAACTGACTCAATGGCACTTAAGAACAACAGCTGGATGATGATCTCACAAAGCTTCTGGCTGCTTATTAAACAAAAGGGAACTTGCATGATTTGGAATTTAAATGAAGTCTTCTTCATTGCTATGTCCAATATTCCTATTTACCACCCCACTGCTGGGGTTCTGGTGTACTGCTACGGGTTAATGTGCTGGACTGCAAAGTCAGCAGTTCAAGCTCACCAGCTACTCCTCGGAAACCCTATACAGGGTCGCTATGGGTCGGAACTGACTCGACGGCACACAACCACCCAACTCCTGCTTCTTGGTATCTTATTAGCATATAGGAAATTCTTTAACCCTATTACGTTTTTTATAATGATCATGTAGGCTCAATCAGAGCTTTTGATCTCCCCCTCACACTTTCCTTTCTCATCATTTCACTTGTTCCTTTGCACAGTCACTTTGCAGCGTCCTCCCCCAACAGACTGGAACCTGGGACAACAGGGGTCCTTAGTTCTCCCCTTTCACCTCACCAGTCCTGGTACAGTATTGCCAACGAGGCAGCTCAAAAACTATTTGTTGTAAGGAAATGGGCGTACTATAGCGACCTTTCTTGGCACAAGGAATGCTCGGCAGAATGGCAACTCTGAGCTACCATTCCAGAGTGGTTGTCTTCAGTCCAAGCAAGCAGCTGGGACCCGTGGACTCCCACTGAAGCAGGGACAAAGCAGTTCTGCAAGGGAGGTTCTGCCGTACTTGTGGAACGAGACCAGTGAGTCAACACCACTGGGACCCAATGAGGACTGCTCACTGTCCCTTGGGAGCAAGAAGGGGAGTTCTTGTGCCTGGGCAAGCTTGGGGTGGATCAGTACTATGCTTACAACATTCTCAAATTTAATCTGTACTGACTGCCTTCAGTCTAAATCTGCTGCTAATGATTCTAGCCAGAAAGAACTTTTATAATTTCTTTAGCAAGTTTCAGATAATACTTAAGACTAGTTTTGCCCCGCAGTGAACTCTTCTATGAGGAAAAAGCACCCACCGCTCACCATCCACAAGATATAAAGCAATCACAATCTACATTTTCTTTAACTTGCCCAGCATCAAATCTTGCCTATCACGAAGAAACATCTACTGAACTCCATACACTATCACTAACCTTGAACCTTAAAACGTTCTTTACAACTAGAGTCCAGAGAAGAAATTGTGGAGACCAGTAACTTGTAGTGTGGCAGAGTGGTGACGGCTGCATATGGCCCACAGGTTATATGGACTATGAACTGTCATTCTCACAGAATGTGGGGCAATTTCGCAAAGTGAAGCAGCTGCATTAACAAGGCACAAGTACAAACACTTTCTAATAGAGGACCTAACTAAAGCAGCTCTCGTCTGGTTATTTCATTAAAAACCAAGCAACCGTTCTTTCTCTTCCAGGGACTGTGTAGAGGCATTCAAAATGGTCCAGTGTTTGACATACTGCCGTAGGCTCTCCTACAATACAGCCTCTAACAAAACTAGGCTGTCCCGAACCCCTGGTAATAGAATTGTTTATCTCTATGCCAAGAAGGAGCTCTGGTAGCGTAGTGGTTACGAATCGTGCTGCGAACCTTAAGGTCAGCGGTTCGAAACTACCAGCTGCTCCGCGGGAGAAAGATGAGGCTTTCTACTCCCGTAAAGATTTACACCCTCGGAAACCCTGTACAGGGTCGCTATGGGTCGGAACCGACTCAACGGCACTTAACAACAACAACATGCCAAGAAGGTTGGTGAAGAACCCAAATCTGCATGCAGTGTGTGCCCAGGACTTCAAGGGGTCCGTGCTGAGAGATTTAAGTTCTCATGAGGTTGTACCAGACAAAGAGACATGTCAGCAGGGCGTATGGTGGCTCTACGTGTGTTCAATGTGTCCGTGACAGGATCAAGCGTGCTTTCCTTACTGAGAAGCAGAAAAAGGAAAGTAGAAAATCGTTGTGAAGGCACAAGCACAGAGTCAGAAAGCTAATTAAAATATAATGGAGCTTTGCTGAATAAACAAACAAACAAAAAACCCCAAGCAACCATAAGTTGCAAAATGAAGTCTGATTCAAAGGAATATGGAAAACTCAAGAAAGCAATGAGTTAGAATTAATATGCACAATTTTTCTCTTTTGTTCACAGTAATTGACTTTTTTGACATGAGAAGTTTGCCATTTCCCCCAACCCCAACATATTTAAGACAATTAGCAGCCAGCCATATGCAGAGGACTCCACAGGTTATCTGAGGAGACAAGGGAAAGGCATTATGAAAAACTAGTGGATAATGGTGATGGATATACAACACGATGGAAATTAGAATCACTGAATTACCTGTGTCAAAAAATTGAAATGGTAAATGGTTACATATATTTTATAATAAAGTTTAATGGGTTAAGCTGTATAATGATTACAAAAAAAGTCATTACACCATTCTCAAAAAAAGTCATTACACTATTCTCAATTTTTGCGTGCACTTTAAAATCTCCATGTTAAAAAATCTTAATGTAAGCTTATGCTCAGTAAACAGATGTCAATGTGTCAACTGCTTCCACTGCCTCACATCAAAGTCAAGGCCCAACAAGGGCACCTGCCTCTATAGTCCCTTCTTTTACCCTCTTTCCAGGTTTTTAGCTGTACCCACTGGAAGATGTCAACGAAAGAACCAGCTTAGGTAGAATGGGGCTGAAATCAATCCAGGCAGTACATTAGCAAGTTTTAAACAGACTCTGAAACATTCTTGAGACTTGACCTCAGAACTTTAAAACTGAATATAAGATTACTGTTTCAAAGCAAAGAAAATCTTTATATAAAGTTCTTCAACATAAAAACGTTTAAGAGAGCAACAACAGACCATCTTAAGAGTATGTGAGTGAGACTACACCTGCTTTTTAGCTGGTGTGTCCAACACCTTTCCCCCCCTTGAAATAATATGGTTCATCAATAAAACTGATTACACCAAAATGCCTGTGGGCTTTTCAAGACTGGAGTCAAACTACTTATAGAAAGAAGTAAAACATTTTACAATGGAATCAAGATAAAAATGTTAAAATATCAGCTATATACTGTGCCTTTGCAACACTCTATGGAGGAGTGTGGACATTGTGAGATAAACATCAACTGCTAACCACAAAGTTGGCAGTTCAAGCCTACCAGCTGCCACTTAGAAACCCTGTACAGGGTCACTATGAGTCAGAAGAGACTTGACGACATTTAACAATCAACATGGAGTCCTGGTGTGGTGCTGCGGGCTAATGCACCAGACTGCAAAGCCGTTTGAACTGCAAGATCAGAAGCTCAAGCTCACCAGCTGCTCCTCGGAAACCCTAAACAGGGTTGCTATAGGTCGGAACCAACTTGACAGCACTTAACAACAACAACTAAGGGGAATGCAGAATACATCTTTTTCCAACTACACAGACACAAAAAATGTTTTGAGAAAAATTACAAAGGAGCAGTATCCTCAGGAATACTACAGCTGACACGAACTCGGAGTTTGAAGGGTGGTTAGCCTTTGAGAAGATTCATACCCAACTTTGGTTTCCTGAGGGAGCAAGTTCAACAGGTTGATTCACCATTCAATTAAGCCCAATTTTTATTTGCTCTTAAATCAAACCCTTTAAAATAAGCCTAGGGGTTTTAATTACCATAAAGCAGACTGGTCAGTAGTAATCTTGAAAATCTCTGCAAAGGAGAAAACTTACAACTATATAAAGAAAAATGCAAGGTGCCCTGGTAGCAGAGTGGGTTATGAGTTGAGCTGCTAAGCAAAAAGTCAGCAGTTCGAATCTACCAGCTCCTCTGAAAGAGAAAGATGAGGCTTTCTGTTCCCATAAACATTTACAGCCTCAGAACCCTTATACAGGTTCACCAATGAGTTGGAATCAACTGGGTGGCACACAACCATCTAGCTGCAAATCGAAAGGAAGAGGCCTTAATCCTCCCCTTTGGAATGAATGAAAGAGGTTCCCTTCCTCCACTGATCTTTCATAATTTACTTTAGATAACTTCAAAGGATAAAAATCTTTCTGAAAAACATGTAAATCAAAGATGTTTCAAGGACCTGGAGCCACCTATTGAAGCGCAATTATCAAGAAAGCCTACAGAGCTACCTTCCAGTTCCCTGGAAAAAGATTAGCATGCATTTAATTATCTGGCCATAAATTATTATAAAACTTGGTACCTGTATTGCAGGCCAGCGTGTAATGAGTTGTACCCACTCAGCTGTATAAAAGACATCTTTCTGATTTTGCAATCTCTTTAACGGATTACCTGCGGATACCTCGCACTTTGGTTTAGTCCTGCTTCAACAATCAAACTTTTTGGAGAGGTTTGCAGGGATCGGCTGGAGATTTCCTTTTGAGTTACTGCTCCCCAAGCCTGGCTAGAGAAACGCTCAGAGCTACGAGTTTGCTAGGACTGAAGCCTGGGATGGCTGAGGACGACCCCACGTCCTGGCCGCCCCCTCACCTGGTTGAACTCCTCATCCGCGTAAATATCAATCAAGTCTACTCCTTCGGACATGGCTTCAGATAGAGGCTCGCAGGCCCGGAGGATGGACGGAGGACAGCTGCCACTGCGGTATTGGGGAGAGGAGCAAAGTTAGGGGGCGCGAGGGTCCTGGACAGGGAGGCGAGCAAGAGCGCCCCCTGCCCCGCCCCCGGCCTCGCGCCGCCGGGGCTCACGGGGCCAGCTGCCCATCACCCGGGGGCCGCCCCGCGCCGCAGCCACCGGTGACACGACGGGCACGTCCGGGCCTCGGCTCTTCCGAGGCCTTTGAACAGCGCCGCGAAGAAGCGCCCGGCCGGAGCCCCTGCGGGCCCAGGAGCGCCCCCCGGAGGCGCCCCGGCTGCCCACCGGGCCTATCCTCGCCCTCCGGCGAGGCCCACACCACTCCCTCCCACAGAGCCCGCCCGGCCCCGCGGCCTCCTCCCGCAGGGCCCGCGCTTTTTTCCACCCGCCGGCTCAGGCCGCCCCGGCTTCAACCAACCCCCGCCCCGCCTCGGCGTCGGCCCCCGCCCTTCTTCCGGCCCAGCAGGGCCTCGGCCGCGCGCGCCCGTTACCGGGAATATGGCGGCGGCAGCGGCGGCGAGTCCGGACTAGGCCCGAAGCGCGCGAACCGCTCTCGCCCTAGGTCCCGCCCTCACTCCCTGCGCTGGCGTCACACGCACCCCCACTTCCGCCACACGCAGGAACGCGTCTTCCGGCTCGGGCTCCGACTCCGCGCCGAGGTTCTCGGGTTCGGGGTCTCGGAGAAGGAGGGGATACAGGAAGTGGTTCGTACGCAGGGTTCCGGTGCGGACCCGGCGGAAAATGGCAGTTCCCACAGTGTTCCCGGCTCTAGCTCGGGTGAGAAGCTTGGGGGTCCTGGGGTTCCGGGCGGGCGGCACCGGTGACCGAACCTTGTTGACCTCCGTGGTCACGGTGACCGTAGAGACAGCTTAGCAGCCGGGTAGCCGGGCAGGTCAGGAAATTCAGGTCGCTTCTACCTTTTCGTGAATCCGCGGTGTGCCTCTCCAGTAATATCGTTGACCAGCTGGTGATAGGACGAGACCCAATTCAGATGGCATTTACTGTGCCAGCAAAGTCAAACCGATCATCACTCCCTCCTCTGAAACCTTCTCTAACTCCATTTATGATTTCACATTGTGTGTCCTTTGAAGGATTCGAGATCTTGCCCTCTCTAGCTCTTTGTAGGTATTCTCAGGGTTTAACTCAGACGGGTGGCTGGAATATAAACCATAAAACCCATGTGGTCAAGTAGATTCGGACCCAAAGCTCCCATAAGGAAGCAGACTGCCACTTATTTATCGTGCTGGTGAGTTCTAATCAAGACCTTGCCCCTAGCAGTTCAATGTGTAAACGCTGTACCAGGAGGGCCCCCAGAATGGACTCCATGGCAATAGATTTGGTTTGGAATGCGCATGTTCTTGTTAGATGCTATCGAATAGGTTCCAACTCATAGCACAACAGAATGAAACACTGCCCAGTCCTGTGACATCCTCGCAATTGTTATGTCTGAGCCCATCGTTGCTGCCGCTGTCATTCGATCTCATAGGGGAGTCTTCCTCTTTTTCCTGATCCTCCAATTCACCAAGCATGATGTCTTTCTCTAGGGATTGTCCCTCTGAACAACACACCCAGAGGATGAGACATAAAGTCTCATCGTCCTGACTTCTAAGGGGCATTCGACTGTCTTATTTCAAGATAGATTTGTTTGTTCTTGTGGCAGTCCATGATAGAGCCAGTCTTTTTCACCACCACCATCTTTCAAACGCATCAGTTTTTCTGTGGTCTTCCTTGTTCATTGTCCAACTTTCACATGCCTATGAGGTGAATGAAAATACCATGGCTTGGGTCAGGTGCACCTTAAGTCCTTCAAGTGACACCTTTGTTCTTCAACATTTTAAAAAGGTCTTTTGCAGTAGGTTTGCCTAATGCAATAGGTCGTTTGATATCTTGACTACCGCTTCTTTGAATGTTGATTGTGGATGCAAGTAAAATGATATATTATCATGATGTTATTTATGGGTCTGATTGCTAGAATTTTCATTTTCTTTACATTGAGATGCAATCCATCCTGAAAGCTATAGTCTTTAATCTTCCTCAGTATTTTCTGTTTGTATTTCATCAATTCTTGGAGTCTTGGTTTTGTTTTTTTTCCCAGTGCCTTCAGTGATGCTTGGACTTCTTCCTTCAATACCATCCGTTTGGATCATGTGCTACCTTGTGACATGGTAGATAGTACATCATCCATTTCTCTTTAGCACAGTGACCCTGTGTATTCCTTCCATCTTTTGATACTTTCTGTGTCACTCAGTATTTTGCTGATGTTGTTGTCAAATCAGTTATGACTCAGCTACCCTGTATAGGGTTGCCGAGGAGCAGCTGGTGGGTTTGAACCACTGACCTGTGTTTAGCAGGCCAGTAAATCCTTCAATATTGCGAGTTGAGGCTTGAATGTTTTCTTTAGGTCTTCCGGCTTGAGCAATACTGTACTCTTCCCTTTGGTTTTATAATACCAGGTCTTTGTATATTTCATTATAATACTTTACTTTGTCTTGGTGAGCTGACCTTTGAAATGTTCTGTTCAGCTCTTTTACTTCAGTTCTTCCAGTCAGTTTAGCTTCTATACCTTCAAGAGAGTAAGTTTCAGAGTCTCTTCTGACATCCATTTAGGTCTTGTCTTTCTTTTCTGTCTTATAAAATGACCTTCTGTTTTGTTCCTATATAATGTTCCTGATGTCATCCCACAACTCTTCTCGTTTGTCATTAGTACCTAATGCATCAACTCTTGAGATGGTTTCTAATTCAGGTGGGATATACTTAAGGGCATATTTTGGCTCTTGTGGACTTGTCTTAATTTTTTTCAGCTTCAGCCTAAAGTTGCAGTTGATGGTCTGTTCCACAGTTTGCCCTTGGACTTGTCTTGGCTGGTGATATTGAGCTTCTCCACTGTCTCTTTCCACAGAGGTAGTCAGTTTGATTCCTGTGTGTTCCAGGTGGTGAGGCCCATTCATGTTGTTCCTAAAATGTATTTGCAATGAATAAGTCACTGATCTTGTAAAATTCCATCATGCAATCTCCAGCATCATTTCTGTCACCAAGGCCATATTTTCCAACTACTCATCCTTCTTTGTTTCCAACTTTTGAATTCCAATCAACAGTAATTATCAATGTATCTTACTGCATGTTTGATCCATTTCAGACTGTAGAAGTTAGTTGTTGTTGTGTGCCGTTGAGTCGGTTCCGACCCACAGTGACCCTGTATAGGGTTTATGAGGAGCCATTGGTGAGCTTGAACTGCCGACCTTGCAGTTCAAACAGCTTTGCAGTCTGGCACATTAACCCACAGCACCACACCAGGACTCAGTAGAAGTTAGTTCAATTTCTTCTTCGTTGGCTCTAGTGGTTGGTACATAAATTTGAATAAATAGTGGTATTAACTGGTCTTCCTTGTTAAGCGCTGTCTTGTCAGTTCCAACTCAGAGCAACCCTGTACAAAGTCTCCAAGGAGCGGCTGGTAAATGTGCCCCGTTTTGTAGGTGTCTGTCTATTATCCTATCACAGACAGCATTCTACTAAAAGATGGATCTTGAAATGTTGGGTTGTTTTTTTTTTTTGATTGATGATGAATACAATGCCATCCCTCTTCAATTTGACATTCTTGGCATATGCTGTTCAATTCAAAATAGTCAGTACCAGTCTATTTTGGCTCACTGATGCCTAGGATATAGATTTTTATGTGTTCCATTTAATTTTTGACGACTTCCAGTTTTCCTAGATTCGTTGTATATTCCAGGTTCCAATTATCAGTGGATGTTTGCAGCTGTTTCTTCTCATTTTGAGTTGTGCCCCATTAGCAAATGAAGGTTCTAAAAGCTTTGTTCCCTCCACGTCATTAAGGTCGACTCTACTTTGAGGATGCAGCTCTTCCTTTGTGCCTTGCAGCCTGAGGGGGCTCATCTTCTGGCACTGTATTAGACAGTGTTCATCTACTACTTACAAGGGTTTCAGCAGCTAACCATTCAGAAGTAATCCACCTGTTTTTCTCCCTCGTCTGTCTTAGTTTGGAAGCTTCACTGAAACTGGTCCATCTTGGGTGACCCTGCTGGTATTTAAAATACCAATGACATAGCTTCCAGCATCACAGCTGAACTGAAGCCACCACAGTACGGAACACTGACAGATGAGTGGCGGGGAATGCGCGTAGCGTCGAGTTGATGTGGGGTGCTGTTAGTCACCTGTGTACGATTTGTTTGTTTCAGGTGCTTGCTCTGTCAAGATGCAGCCTAGCTTCTCCTTTGCTCAGCGCGACATCATTCCGACGCTTTTACCGAGGTGACAGTCCAACAGATTCCCAAAAAGACCTGATTGAGATCCCTTTGCCTCCATGGCAGGAACGAACTGATGAGTCCATAGAAACCAAAAGAGCCCGCCTGCTCTACGAGAGCAGAAAGAGAGGGATGTTGGAGAACTGCATCCTCCTTAGGTGAGGGAATAGGGGTCCTGGTGTCACTTCTTTTCGACTAAAGACAGTCTTGTCAACCCTTTTTCTTTCTCATTTTTAGCCTCTTTGCTAAAGAACATCTGCACCAAATGACAGAGAAGCAGCTCAACCTCTATGACCGCCTGATTAATGAACCCAGTAATGACTGGGACATATACTACTGGGCCACAGGTACTGGGTTTAGGAAGCAGCATCGTGTGAAAACAGGATGGCCTGGGCTTGAGACTGGATTGTGTCGGAGGCAATTTGTTCTTTCATTCGTGCAATAGGCATTTAACCCAAACATCCTTACAAATTTCCCAAAGTCTGCACAGGTTGGTTTCTTAGCAGTTCAGCTTCTTTACTTGCAAGTAACACCCCAATTCTAATGTGCCCACAAAAGGATTTTAGTGGAAGGGTAGGGATCACTGCCAGCATGAAAGGGAAGGCTGAAGAAGAGCCATTGGCCACTGCTTAGTCACATGACTACACCCAGCCATAAAAAAGAAATAGGACCGTCTATTCCAGGATTGTCTACCCAACTAAATTGTTGAGTGCCGTTGAGTCAGCTCCCACTCATAGTGACCCTGTCAAGGGTACCTCAGAGTGGCTGTGGGTGACGTTTGCCAGTCCAGTGTTTATCCTACAGTTTAGCTACAGGAGGACTCGAAATTGGGGGTTCTGCTATCAACGGTAAAGGAGTGGGTGGACATTAGGGGATACTACATCCTTTTCTGCCACATTCTGGGCCCCCTGTTTAATTTTTTATTGTGAAGTGAGTGGAGACTTACAGAGCAGAGCGTCAGTTGTGCATTTAGCTGATCAGCCACTTTGTTTCATCTCTGTGACGGCAGTCTCCTCCGTGCAACATCTCTGCTCCCGCTTGCTCCCTGTGGTCCTTGTTTCCGGTCCTCCTCCTTTCCCAGCCCTTCTGAACTTAGTCCTGGGGTCAATGCTGTCCTGTAAACTCAGGTGGGTGGCCTTCTATGCTGAGCACATCTCAGTAGGGTTGTTGGCCCTCTATACCTATCTGTTGCTTGGCTGAACATTGAGTCATGGTGGTGAGTTTTGTTCCAGACCTGAAGGCTGACCAAAGGCCGTAGTTTCAGGGGTCTACAAGTCTCTATGTGACCAGTAAGCCTGATATTTTTTATGATTTTGAGTTTTGTGCACTTTTTCTCCCTCTCTATCTAGGACTTTCTAATGTGGTCCCTTTCCGTACAGTTAGCAGTGGTGGCTGGGCACCGCCTAGTGGTTCTGGCCTCAGCGTTGTGGAGACAGGGCTTTACATGGTCCGTGTTTCCATCGACTCCTCTGTCCTCCAGACAGAGAGGCGGCTCATGATGGCTCTCCTATTTTGGAACTCAATGTTTGTGTCAGAGAACAGAAACCACTCTGTGGGTTCCGAGTATCAGCAGTCACCATGCAATCATTGCAAGTCTGGACGAGGGATGATCACTTAACTGCTGGCTGTTCCCCCTCCTGCAACAAAGTGCTGCTGGTTGGTGGTTATGTGCCGTGCAGTCGGTTCTGACTCACAGGGACTCCTACAGGGTTTCCGAGGCTGTAAATCTTTACAGGAGTAGGAAGCCTCATCTTTCTCTCGTGGAACAGCTGGTAGTTTTGAACTGCTGATCTTGAGGCTATCAGTCCAACTCATAACCACTATGCCATCAGCAACAAAGTAGGTACTTCTTAAGAGCTTAGAAGTGTCAGTGAATCGTTAGACATGTATTTCAGGTTCCCACTTGGTAGAACTTTCTCAGACTGTACCGTCAAAGTGGCGGGAGCGGGTTCTCAAAGGCCTATCTACGAGCTGCTTTGAACTACAGGTCGGCTCCTTCCTCTGTAGCCACCTCCAGAGAGTACTGGCTTGTATTCTTTTACCTTGCAAATGTCCCGAATATATTTCTCATTGGCTCAGACAAGGAGTCTCACAGGAGGAGGACATGACAGAACGTAATCCCTGGCTTCTTTAGAAAAGGTGATAAGGATGTCAGGTTGACAATAAATGATCCAGCTGAAGATAGAAATCCCAATAGAGAAAATACCATAGCCTGAATTTCAAAATTCAGTCATTGTACCCCTTCGCTGTTGTTCTGCAGTAAGCAGAAGGATCTGGAGGAAGATGCTCCCAGGGCCCCTTCAGTTTATGAAATACAAAGACGGGTACACAGCTTTCCCTTCTTACCGAGTCTGCACATTGGGAAGGGCCGTTTCCCTCCAGAAATAAGAAATGTGAATACTGGGAAGAGGCGAGCGGTGACAGGTGGCCAGAATACTGGTTGGCAGGTGTTGTTTGCTCTTACAAGGAACAATCTCCTGAAAGGTGGCACTCTGGAGGGCCGTCGTAAGATTCAAGAAAGTGAGTTGTATTTTTGAGGCCCTGTACACCTCTGCCTGGCTGGACTCAGTTGCCCAAGTACTAAGGAGATGACCTTCTTACCTATCAAGAGTGTTTGTGTGGAGACCATACCAGTGTCCCCTGTTCCTTCTAGAAGATAGTAACCCTCTGCCATTGAATTGATTCCGGTTCACAGACACCCTGTGCAGGGTTTCCAAGGCCATCTGTCTTTGTAGGAGCAGAAAGTCTCCTCATTCTCCCACAGAGCGGCTGGTGGATTTGAACTGCTGACCTGGTGGTTAGCAGCCCAATAAAGGGCTCCATCAGAAGAGTGTGGTACCTGTTCTTCAAGGCACCAGAAGGAAGGCATCCTAATTCTCTCTCTTGAGCTGCTGTAGCGGAAAGATCACAAGTGGCTGGCTTTAGCATACCAATCTGTTTTCTCACGGTTTTAGGGGAAACTCCACCTAGAGAAGCACTTTGCTGTTAAAGATGTCACAGGAGCAACTCAGTCCCAAGCCCAAACCATTGGGACCCTACAGGACACAGCACAACTGTCCTGTAGCGTTTCTAAGACTGTTAACAGAGCAGCTGGTGAATCTGAACCATTCACTTTTCAGTTAGCAGTTCAGCGCTTACCCACCGTGCCACCAGGGCTCCTTTAGGTTTGAAGGTCAACTGGAGGGACTTTCTCAGGGATCCATTTCTGACTCATGAGCACCCCGAGTGATGGAGTAGAGCTGCCCCATGGGGTTTACTAGGCGTGATTGCCAGGCCGCTCACCCACAGAGCCTCTGGGTGGGGGGAGGTAAGAGCGCTCACCTGTGGATTACCAGGCCCCCCCCCCCCCGTGATGGAAGACTTGTCATGGTCTAGATATAGATGGTTTCCTGTCCCTCCCATGGTGAAAGGGATGGATTTTCCTTTTAACATCTCCCGAGTCCAAATGGGTCCTTACTTGTACCTTGCGCGCACCTGTGTGTGTGTGTGTGTGTGTGTGTTTGTGTGGGGACAGGGATTGCTGGCCTACCCTTGGTCTCTTGAGGCCTTTGTTCTGTAGAGGAGGAAGGTCTGGGTGGGGCTTTCTGCTTCTCCCCTGTGGTGGGGGCCCCATCACTGAGGGAGGAGCCCTCCTGCCTCCTGCTCTGCACCAGTCTTTGTTGTGAGCATGCCCAGCGCACCCCTGGCGTCTTTGGCTCCCACGCTAGCTCACTCTGGGCTTTGAGCAGTTTACTAACCAGCCTAGTCGAATTCGTCTCACGCGTGGACGGTGCCCAGCGGCTCCTGCTCTGCCCGGTCACCAGTGTGTTTTTCACCCTGCTTGGTTGCCTGTGGCCTCAGCTCTGATGCATTCGGGTCACAATGTCTGTTGTTTACCCGCTTTTCTCGTTAGGGTGAATGCAGTGCTCTAGAACCTTCGATTCTTGGGAAAAGCCTAAGTCTCCCTGACCTTATTTTGAGCCCTACCTAAAAAGAAGGCCTCCCACCCTAGGCTGAGTGAGGGGGAGTCAGTTTTGTTCTGAGAAACTCCCTCTCCTGGTACTGTGTTCATTGTTCTGATAGGAGGGTAATTCTAGAGAACTTTACGTAGGCTTTGCCAATGGGAGGCTTTACTTGGGAGTTGGGTTCTTGCTCTCTAATTATTGTTGTTGGGCAGTATACACAGCAGAACATGCACCGATTCAACCATTTCTCCATGGACCAGGTAGTATCACTGCTGACAGACATTCTTCAGGGTCTGCAGCCATTCTTACTCTCCTTTTCCAAATGGTTCGTCCTATAAAAATAGCACGGGGGCACATCTAACCTCCTCCGACTTCACAGGGTGGGGGAGAATCAAACTCATTACCAGCCTCAGGCGGATTCCTGTGACCTGCCTCCACCTTTCTGCCTTCTCTACCGATTGTGACTTCTCTCCCTCCCAAGGCACTCTCGGCTTCTCTGCTGGGTTCCAGAGCGTGTTGAAATGGCCACACAGCTCTCACCGACCATAAGCAAGATTCTGGGGTATATGAGGGAAGTTAACTGGTTCCATACAGTTCAGGGTCCCGAACACTCAGGACTGCCTCTCAGCCATGCTCTCAGGCTCACCCACACAGGCCCTCGGCCTCGTGACCTTGGACAAGTGTCACAAAGCTTTTTGTCCTCTTAGCCTGTATCCTCGTGGGCAAGCATGGTTCTGCTAATCAAACACCCACTCCACCAGTAAGCCGACGGCAGACAGTCAGGTCTAGCTCGGTGGGTTCTCTGTCGGGCTGGCGTCCTCAGTTCTCCCCCCCTCCTATCGCCACCCCACTCTCACAGCAAGCCTCCCGCTTTCTCACTGTGGAGCTGGAGCACGCAGCTCAGTCTCGACTCCTGGCCTTGCTGCTTTGGCTGTCAGTCTCTCCTGCACCTCTGCCCTCGGCCATGCTGTGGCCCTGCCCTGTCTCCTCATGGAGGAGGCTTATCACAGGGCTCCAGAGGAGTGCCTCTGCTCCTGCCTCTTCTCTTTGCATGGTAAAGAGATGGTCCATTGTAGACGGAGCGGGATGGCAACACTGACCTTATTTATATCCCCCCCCCACACACACACAGACAGGGTGCCACGTACCTTATTGATATTATTAGTGAGCTGCCCAAAGTGGGCCACAAACACCTCTCAGCTGCATAATCGTACTCAGTCATTTGGAGTCCTGGTGTGGCGCTGTGGGATCATGTGCTGGATTGCAAAGTTGGTTTGAGCCACAAGGTTGCCAGTTCAAGCTCACCAGCAGCTCCTTGGAAACCCTATACAGGGTCGCTATGGGTCGGAACCGACTCAACAGCACTTCACAACAGCACCAACAACGTAGTCACTAGTGGAGTCCTGGTATGATGCTGTAAGATAAGCACTGGACGGCTAATTGTAAAGTCAGAGGTTCAAACCCATCAGCTGCTCCTCAGAAACCCTATACAGGGTCACTGTGAGTTGGAGCCGATTTCAACAGCACTTAGCAATAGTCTAGGCATTTGATGGGAATTACAAAGATGAAAGGACCAGGTCAGATCACCGACTGGGATGCAAGCTTTTGAGCTAAGCTTTCCTTGTCAATTTGATCCCGAAAGACCTTTAAAAGAGTACAGTGCTCAAGGTAGATGTTGTTTACTAATTACTCCAAGTCTTGTTTAGTTTACAGATGACTTCAGGGGATATATTTGGTACAAGATTTAAAGACGACGTCGAAGCTGTAGTTTGGGGAATTCATTCTTTTACAGTGACTTCAAATATGAAATTCTCCTCTGAAAACTACCCCCTTTTGATCAGGATTCTAGTGGTAGAGAATCTTAGCTCAGATTGTTCAGTAATAGTAGCCGGGCTCCATCCAGTTCCTCAGGTCTCATGGCACAAGAGGCCATGGTTCCTTGGCAGTCAGCCACATGTTTCATCTCCTCCTCTTCCTGAGTCTCCCGGTTCAGTTGCTCCAGGTAAATAGAGACTAATTGTTGTACCTCAGATAACTGCTTACAAGCTTTTAGGACCCCAGGCACTACCCAGCAAACTAGGAGCTAGGACAGAAACAGTAGGCATGTTATAGGCCAATCATCTGTAATGTTGGGATTTGAATCTTAAGTGAGTGTCTTTGGAGCGGAAAGAAAGGTTGGAGGAGAGCCGCATACTTAGCCCATGGTCCCTGCCTGGCTTTGCTCTCGGGGGCCTTTGTTGCCTGTCCATTTCCCGTCTGGTTTTCTATGTTCTTGTCAATTTTGTGAGCTGTTAACATCCTTCCAATGACTCCCTTTTTTGCTGAAGTTTACTAGAGTTATTAATTTCTGTCACTTAAAACCAAAGAACTGATCAAAGAAGTGGAACTTTTGTTTCTGGAAATTTATTGACCCAGAGAGAAAAACACAAAACCTGGAAAATAACTGAAATGCTAACTACTGGGCAAAGTACGGTAGTCAAGACTGAGCCGGCGAGGGCCGGGCAAACTTGGCTGCCACACACAAGGTCTCCAGCAGCTCCACAGCTCTGCGGTTGTAGCACAAAAGTAGCACTGAACAGTATGTAACCGAGTGGGAACCACTGTGTTCAGTAAAACGGTAAAGCACAGAAACTGTCTTGGCTTGCCAATCCTTGGTATAGGCTGAAGGAGCCCCGGTGGCATTGTGGGTTAACAGTGCCACGCTGTTAACCACAATGTCAGTGGTTAAAACCCACCAACTCCCCAGGAGAAAGATGAGACTAGTTGCTCTCACAAAGACTTAGAGTTTCAGAAACACTATATCTCGGTTCTCTGTGATTCGGAATCGATTTGATGGCTTTGGTTTTGGGTATGGGCTGATGCCATGTAGGTTTAGAGGAAGAATGGAGACAGTCTAGATCTCCATCTGTGGTTCATAGCCAAGGCCAGAGCTGCATGTCCAAGTTTCAGGATCCTAGTAGCTGAGCATTGACTGTGACTGACGCAATTCTTTCTGCCCATCATTCTCTTGCAGAAGCAAAACCTGCCCCAGAAATATTTGAAAACGAAATCCTGGCGCTGCTGAGGGACTTTGCTAAAAACAAAAACAAAGAGCAGAGATTGCGCGCCCCGGACCTCGAGTACCTGTTTGAAAAGCCCCACTGAGCTGCACACCACAGCCCAGCATGGGGCTCCATTCCCGGACCCCACTTGCTTGGGATCGTCACGACTTTTGCTTCCTGTTGCTGTGTAGACACCCAACCCATACAGGACACGCCCATGGTCATGGTGACTCCCCAAATTTCCCTTGTCCTGCTTCCAGTCTCAGGGGTGTGGTTGGCATTGATGCCCCTCCCCGCCTCAGCCTGGCTGCTTTCTCTGCTCCTGTCTCCACCGTCCTCTGCCACAGGAGGGCACTGTTGAGACAGAATTGGTGCCCGCTCCTCTTTCAGGGCTAAGAGACAGCCTGTTGGAAGGCGTCCTGGCCTGTGCTGACGTGAATTCCCTACTGCAGCCCAGCATGGCCCTCTCCTCTCTGCCAAGGATGCTGATCCAACGCCCTGAGCTGAATCCCTCAAAGGCACAGCAGGCAGAATGAGAGCAGCAAGCAGGATCCCTGTCTCACCCAGCTTATAAGTCCACATCTCTACCCTCACGTTGTCTTTATAATAAATGTTCACTTGGCAGATGGAAAGGTAACGATGTTAAAGAACAGTGAAACCCAGTGGATTCTCCATGTCTCAGCCCTCAAAGTCATTTCAGACTCTGCCCTTGTAATGTCATCCTCATAGGCTTTGTCTCCTGCTAGCACAAGAACACCCTATGGCTACTATAGTCTTCATTATAGTTTAAGGTAGCTGACTAATATGACACAAAATAATATGAGGGGATGTTGTAAAAACTTCATGGAGAAATGGAATGACAGGTAGTGGAGTTTTCCCACACATGTTTTGAAGCCCCTTTGTGTTGTACGGAGTGAGTGGAGTGGTTAGCTCTAGGACCGGAGACTGCCATGCGTCGTCCAACTGAGTGAATGGGCGCTCTAGGACCAGAGACTGCTGTGTGGCTGGTGGTGGTGTCACTGGAGACCTTAGTGCTGTGACCCAGTCCAGGCCTGGAGCATCAGATGGTGTTGACTGGAAGGAGAGGCCATAAGGATGGCATGTGTTTCGTGCTCACGAGAGCTCTAGGCTGGGAGGCAGTGCGGGACTGCTGGCTTCCCACCGTGCTTCCTCCTGGGTGCCGGCTAAGGAGGGCAGGGAAGGCACCCAACCTGGTGTTATCAGATCCTCACAACACTCCTACTGGGTGGTGAGTCAGTGGGCTCGGTGATTAAGTAGTTTGTCCAGGGTCATGTCACTGTTTAGTCAGAAAGCCAGCTCTGTCTTGGCTCTAGCATTCATGGATGTTCTACCTGAACACACCACCCTTACTGTTAGAAATCGAGTAGGAATCTGCACTTGGAGACCCTACCACAAAGAAAGTGGACAGCTGGAATGAGTCTGGGTAAGAAGCTGCCAGATACTCCCTGAAGTGAGCAGCTGGGGACTTGGCCACCCAGAGTGGCTCTCTTAAGTGAAGATTGGGTCAGGGCACTAGGGATGCTTCCATCTGGCTCAGCTGGACCTGAGACTTGTGCCCCCCTCCCCCCCAATAACAAGGGTACCAGTATACCCTGTGTGAAGCCGTTGAGAAGAAGAAAGCAGACAGTTCCGTGGTGCCTCATCTGAAGTGAGCCCCCAGTGGCGAGATGTGTCAGCATGTGCTCTCAGCCTCAGCCTGAGCCTTTAAGCCCAGCCTGTGAGGTCCCCAGCAACATGCAGGGCAATGCCAGGAAAACAGCCTATTTAAGTAAAAGTGGAGAGTCTAAATGGCAGCGACCAGAGAGGACCTAGATGCTGGTGACAACAACTTTGATGGAAAAATCTAGCTGTCTTGGAAGCAGACACAGGGCAGAAGGGCAGATGTCACCTGGGAGCTTACTGAAGACTGGCCATTCTCTTGGGTTTCCTTTGATGTGCTGCAGGGAGCATGATTTACCAGGCAGAGGATTTATATATAGAAATCTGTCTGGGCTGTACAATGTGTACCGGAACCGGACTGTGGCTCACCCATCTCTCCTCAACACATTATGCAACACAGGAAGTGGGGGCTTGCTGGGGTTTGTGTGTGTGTGTGTGGTCCTGGATCCCATCTTATCCTGATTTTGTCTTTATTTAACATCATGTTCAGCTGCTGCCACTTTCACCTGGGAATGGCATGCTTCTAAAGGAAACATTTTCCTCCCTGGCGACTGGTTTACATCATCTTTGAAAGTGAAGGATCTTGCCCACCCCAGCTGCCCGGCATCAGGCCCAGGGGTGCAATGTAAACAGTTGTTCCCTTTATTAGGCCTAAAATAAAACTAGGCCAGCCACAGTGACTTTTTTGTTTTCACTTTTGTATTAATAAACAGACAGCAAGGGTCAGCAGCCTCTGCCCACCTCTCAGATCCATGAGGAGCAGCACCTCACTGCTCACTGGTATCCTTCCAAGTCTGTGCCAAGAAGATGAGTATCTGGTTCTACCCCACCAAATCCAAAGTGGTCTAGTGCCCGCGGGACACAGTGAACTGGGTCAGTCAGCTGCTCTCCGTGGCTATTCCTCACCCTCGTAAACCTTCAACATCCATAAACCTAACACCGTGATCCCCGCAACCAAACATACTGCCATCCGCTCAATCCCAGCTCATAGCCACCCTTAGGGTTTCTAACGCCATCATTATTTTATATTAAGCTTTTTTTGTGTGAACTGAGTGAAGACTTAGAAAGCATATCACCAGTTTTACATTCAACAAACCACACATCCCAATCGCTATTCCCTCCCTGTAACATCACTGATCCCATTCCCCCGCTGCCCTCCCGTCCCCACCTCACCCCCCTAAACACACACTCATTCTTGTTTCCATGGCTCCTTTCCCAGCTCTTCTGAGTTTTGTCCTTAGGTAAATGCTGCCCTTTTGATTTTGAATGGTTGACCATCCTGTGGTCTGTATACCTCACTAGTGTTGAGCCCCCGATATGCCAAGCAATAGTGCTTGGCTGAAATTTGAGCCACGGAGGTGAGTTCCAGACTTGAAGGATGACCAAAGGCCATGGTCTTTGGGGCCATAATCTTTATGAAAGCAGACTACCACATGTTTTCCCACAGAGCAGCTGGTGGGTTCAGACCACTGACCTTTCAGTTCAGAGCCAAGTGCTTAACTGCTGCATCACCAAGGCTCCTCTGTGCCTTGTTAGCTGTCATCTAATCGGTTCCAGCTCATAACAACCCTGAATAGGGTTTCCAAGGAGCAGCTGGTGGGTTTGAACTGCTGACCTTGCAGTTTACAGTCCACTGCTTGTCCCACATCTTTAAGCATTATTTAGAGGCCATCTGCTCTGACTCCAGCCAGTTTGGCACCAGTGCACACCTGGTTCATATTTTCAAACATCACCAGAGAAGGAGATTCCACGGCAGTCGAGGCTTGCACTTAAATTTCCGTACATCTGCAGTCGTGGCTAGATATGCAGGGAGGCGAGGGTTCTGTGATAAGGAAGCTGGAGCTGCCACAAGTAGTGAGACAGGTCTGTGACCTTTCGAGCAAACAGTCCCCTTGTAGTATCTGAGGATGTGAACTCGCCATCCTGCAACATCAAGTTGATGACATTGCTCAGTTCCTGGTCAAGCCACCTTGTGATAACTGTTTCCCAGTGAGCCTTCTGGGAACGAGGCCCAGCGTTAGAATTACCCCAGGTAAAATGGCACAGGCGATAAGAAACATACCTGGTGGCACTCCCTCAGGGTGGATTGTAGATACGGTTCAGTGATCCAGACACAGTCGGCTTCAAAGGAGAAGACGTGTTGAGAAGAAATCGAGTAACTCACAGGTGGTCGTCCCAAAAGAAGAGCAGAATCCTGCTGGGTCTCAGAGCTTGTCTGAATCCAGGTAATCTTGCAAAGAGAAGGTTTCTTTCAAAAGGGCAATGTGGACACATCATTTTACCAAACTACTATATCTTGCCATTTTCCAAAGCCAATGAGGACGTTAAGGTACATATTTTGTCTTCAGGTTATCCCCTTGGTATTTAATAAAAGGTTTGCTTTAGTGATGCCTGGAACACATGACTAAGGAAAATGGAGTGGATCTGGCCCAAGTTAGAATCCTGGATCTACTGATGATCAGCTGGGTGACCGTGGACAAGCTATGGAACCTCTCCTTACCTCTGTTTCTCATCTGTAGAAAGAAATGAAACTAACTTCATAGCATGGGTGTAAGGATTCAACTAAGCAATGTTTGTGAAATGCTTAGCATGGTTTGGGACACTGTTATTAACAATGGGAATTATAGCTGACATTTATTGCTTGCTTACCTGGTGCCACTGTAAGTGCTCTACATAGATGACAATAGTTTTTTAAGAGGTTCTTGGGTCCTATAAATGAAAGGTTGGTGGTTCTCTACCCAGAGGTACCTCCGGAGAAAACCCTGGCAATCTACAGAAAGATAAAAGTCACTGAAAACTCAAGGAGCATGGTTTCTGCTCTCTAACGTGAGGTGGGCATGAGTTGGCATCACCTCGATTGACAACTTGTTGCAGACCATGTAAGACTAGTCAGAGGTTCGAGGCCCTCTAGGGCTGAGTGTAACAAATGAGGCCACTGGCAGTTAATGGAAAATTGCTTTCATCTTAATATTCAGGTATATATATTAAATTAATACACTGGAGCCTTTGAAAATCCACAGATAAAGGTGATATTTTCCTAAAGCCGAGATTAAAGGTTGCAAGGTTAAACCTTTCTCCAAAGGATTAACTAAAAATATTTTAGCTACTTCTCGGTTCTTTGTTCTATAGACAAAGAACCCATCCTCCCTAATCCCTTTTCCAGGTGCAGCCCATTCACCTGGGCGTCTCCTGCAGAACTCTCACCTTCCCCCAACTGAGTTCAGGGGCTATAGATATGTTAATTGGGCCTGAGAATCCAAGTTGCTGGCCTGGGATTTGAACCAGTGAAGTACAATGTAAAGTTACCTGAATGTCTGGAAAATTACTGATGTTAGCTGTATCCTGTTTTAGTCCCTCCCAGCTTGGTGTGAAACTCCTCCCCTAAATAAAGCAGAGCCCCGGGCCTCCCCAGGTGTGCATTAC